GAACGTGAAGAACCAGTGGCATCTATATCTGCAGAACTTGAAGAATTAGTGGCATCTACATCTGCAGAACGTGAAGAACCAGTGGCATCTACATCTGCAGAACGTTAAGAACCAGTGGCATCTACATCTGCAGAACGTGAAGAACCAGTGGCATCTACATCTGCAGAACGTGAAGTAGCAGTGGCATCCACATCTGCAGAACGTGAAGAACCAGAGGCATCTACATCTGCAGGACGTGAAGTACCAGTGGCATCTACATCTGCAGAACATGAAGAACCAGTGGCATCTACATCTGCAGAACGGGAAGAACCAGTGGCATCTACATCTGCAGAACGTGAAGAAACAGTAGCATCTACATCTGCAGAACGTGAAGTACCAGTGGCATCTACATCTGCAGAACATGAAGAACCAGTGGCATCTACATCTGCAGAACGTGAAGAACCAGTGGCATCTACATCTGCAGAACGTGAAGAACCAGTGACATCTACATCTGCAGAACGTGAAGAACCAGTGGCATCTACATCTGCAGAACTTGAAGAATTAGTGGCATCTACATCTGCAGAACGTGAAGAACCAGTGGCATCTACATCTGCAGAACGTGAAGTAGCAGTGGCATCTACATCTGCAGAACGTGAAGAACCAGAGGCATCTACATCTGCAGGACGTGAAGTACCAGTGGCATCTACATCTGCAGAACATGAAGAACCAGTGGCATCTACATCTGCAGAACGTGAGGAACCAGTGGCATCTACATCTGCAGAACGTGAAGTACCAGTGGCATCTATATCTGCAGAACGTGAAGAACCAGTGGCATCTACATCTGCAGAACGTGAAGAACCAGTGGCATCTACATCTACAGAACGTGAAGAACCAGTGATATCTAGATCTGCAGAACGTGAAGAACCAGTGACATCTACATCTGCAGAACGTGAAGAACCAGTGGCATCTACATCTGCAGAACGTGAAGAACCAGTGGCATCTACATCTGCAGAACGTGAAGAACCAGTGGCATCTACATCTGCAGAACGTGAAGAACCAGTGGCATCTACATCTGCAGAACGTGAAGTAGCAGTGGTATCTACATCTGCAGAACGTGAAGAACCAGAGGCATCTACATCTGCAGGACGTGAAGTACCAGTGGCATCTACATCTGCAGAACATGAAGAACCAGTGGCATCTACATCTGCAGAACGGGAAGAACCAGTGGCATCTACATCTGCAGAACGTGAAGAACCAGTGGTATCTACATCTACAGAACGTGAAGTACTAATGGCATCTACATCTGCAGAACATGAAGAACCAGTGACATCTACATCTGCAGAACGTGAAGAACCAGTGGCATCTACATCTACAGAACGTGAAGTACCAGTGGCATCTACATCTGCAGAACATGAAGAACCAGTGGCATCTAGATCTGCAGAACGTGAATAACCAGTGACATCTACATCTGCAGAACGTGAATAACCAGTGGCATCTACATCTGCAAAACATGAAGAACAAGTGGCATCTACATCTGCAGAACATGAAGAACCAGTGGCATTTATATCTACAGAACGTGAAAAACCAGTGGCATCTACATCTGCAGAACGTGAAGAACCAGTGACATCTACATCTGCAGAACGTGAAGAACCAGTGGCATCTACATCTGCAGAACGTGAAGAACCAGTGGCATCTACATCTACAGAACGTGAAGAACCAGTGATATCTACATCTGCAGAACGTGAAGAACCAGTGACATCTACATCTGCAGAACGTGAAGAACCAGTGGCATCTACATCTGCAGAACGTGAAGAACCAGTGGCATCTACATCTGCAGAACGTGAAGAACCAGTGGCATCTACATCTGCAGAACGTGAAGAATCAGTGGCATCTTCATCTGCAGAAGGTGAAGAACCAGTGGCATCTACATCTGCAGAACGTGAAGTAGCAGTGGCATCTACATCTGCAGAACGTGAAGAACCAGTGGCATCTACATCTACAGAACGTGAAGTACCAGTGTCATCTACATCTGCAGAACGTGAAGAACCAGTGGCATCTACATCTGCAGAACGTGAGGAACCAGTGGCATCTACATCTGCAGAACGTGAAGTACCAGTGGCATCTATATCTGCAGAACGTGAAGAACCAGTGGCATCTACATCTGCAGAACGTGAAGAACCAGTGGCATCTACATCTGCAGAACGTGAAGAACCAGTGGCATCTACATCTGCAGAACGTGAAGTAGCAGTGGCATCTACATCTGCAGAACGTGAAGAACCAGTGGCATCTACATCTACAGAACGTGAAGTACCAGTGTCATCTACATCTGCAGAACGTGAAGAACCAGTGGCATCTACATCTGCAGAACGTGAAGAACCAGTGGCATCTACATCTGCAGAACGTGAGGAACCAGTGGCATCTACATCTGCAGATCGTGAAGTACCAGTGGCATCTTCATCTGCAGAACGTGAAGATCCAGTGGTATCTACATCTGCAGAACGTGAAGAACCGGTGGCATCTACATCTGCAGAACGTGAAAAAACCATTGGCATCTACATCTGCAGAACGTGAAGAACCAGTGGCATCTACATCTGCAGAACGTGAAGAACCAGTGGCATTTACATCTGCAGAACGTGAAGAACCAGTGGCATCTACATCTGCAGAACGTGAAGAACCAGCGGCATCTACATCTGCAGAACGTGAAGAACCAGCGGCATCTACATCTACAGAACGTGAAGAACCAGTGGCATCTACATCTACAGAACGTGAAGTACCAGTCGCATCTACATCTGCAGAACGTGAAGAACCAGTGGCATCTACATCTGCAGAACGTGAAGAACCAGTGGCATCTACAGAGTGTGAAGAACCAGTGGCATTTACATCTGCAGAACGTGAAGAACCAGTGGTATCTACATCTGCAGAACGTTAAGAACCAGTGGTATCTTCATCTGTAGAACGTGAAGAATCAGTGGTATCTACATCTGCAGAACGTGAAGAACCAGTGGCATTTACATCTGCAGAACGTGAAGAACCAGTGACATCTACATTTACAGTACGTGAAGTACCAGTGATATCTATATCTGCAGAACGTGAAGAGCCAGTGGCATCTATATCTACAGAACGTGAAGTACCAGTGGTATCTACATCTGCAGAACCTGAAGAACCAGTGGTATCTACATCTGTAGAACGTGAAGAACCAGTGGCATTTATATCTGCAGAACGTGAAGAACCAGTGGTATCTACATCTGCAGAACGTGAAGAACCATTGGTATCTACAGTGAGGGAAAAAAGTATTTGATCCCCTGCCGATTTTGTACGTTTGCCCACTGACAAAGAATTGATCAGTCTATAATTTTAATGGTAGGTTTATTTGAACATTGAGAGACAGAATAGCAACAACAAAATCCAGAAAAACACATGTCAAAAATGTTATAAATTGATTTGCATTTTAATGAGGGAAATAAGTATTTGACCCCCTCTCAATCAGAAATATTTCTGGCTCCCAGGTGTCTTTTATACAGGTAACGAGCTGAGATTAAGAGCACACTCTTAAAGGGAGTGCTCCTAATCTCAGCTTGTTACCTGTATAAAAGACACCTGTCCACAGAAGCAATCAATCAGATTCCAAACTCTCCACTATGGCCAAGAGCAAAGAGCTCTCCAAGGATGTCAGGGACAAGATTATAGACCTACACAAGGCTGGAATGGGCTACAAGACCATTGCCAAGTAGCTTGGTGAGAAGGTGACAACAGTTGGTGCGATTATTCGCAAATGGAAGAAACACAAAAGAACTGTCAATCTCCCTCGACCTGGGGGTCGATGCAAGATCTCACCTCGTGGAGTTGCAATGATCATGAGAACGGTGAGGAATCAGCCCAGAACTACACGGGAGGATCTTGTCAATGATCTCAAGGCAGCTGGGACCATAGTCACCAAGAAAACAATTGATAACACACTACGCCGTGAAGGACTGAAATCCTGCAGCGCCCGCAAGGTCCCCCTGCTCAAGAAAGCACATATACTGCCCGTCTGAAGTTTGCCAATGAACATCTGAATGATTCAGAGGACAACTGGGTGAAAGTGTTGTGGTCAGATGAGACCAAAATGGAGCTCTTTGGCATCAACTCAACTCGCCGTGTTTGGAGTAGGATGAATGCTGCCTATGACCCCAAGAACACCATCCTCACCGTCAAACATGGAGGTGGAAACATTATGCTTTGGGGGTGTTTTTCTGCTTAGGGGACAGGACAACTTCACCGCATCAAAGGGACGATGAACGGGGCCATGTACCGTCAAATCTTGGGTGAGAACCTCCTTCCCTCAGCCAGGGCATTGAAAATGGGTCGTGGATGGGTATTCCAGCATGACAATGACCCAAAACACACGGCCAAGGCAACAAAAGAGAGGTTCAAGAAGAAGCACATTAAGGTCCTGGAGTGGCCTAGCCAGTCTCCAGTCCTAAATCCCATAGAAAATCTGTGGAGGGAGCTGAAGGTTCGAGTTGCCAAACGTCAGCCTCGAAACCTTAATGACTTGGAGAAGATCTGCAAAGAGGAGTGGGACAAAATCCCTCCTGAGATGTGTGCAAACCTGGTGGCCAACTACAAGAAACGTCTGACCTCTGTGATTGCCAACAAGGGTTTTGCCACCAAGTACAAAGTCATGTTTTGCAGAGGGGTCAAATACTTATTTCCCTCATTAAAATGCAAATCAATTTATAACATTTTTGACATGCGTTTTTCTGGATTTTGTTGTTGTTATTCTGTCTTTCACTGTTCAAATAAACCTACCATTAAAATTATAGACTGATCATTTCTTTGTCAGTGGGCAAACGTACAAAATCAGCAGGGGATCAAATACTTGTTTCCCTCACTGTACATCTGCAGAACATGAAGAACCAGTGGATTATACATCTAAAGAACATGAAGAACCAGTGGCATCTACATCTACAGGAGATTATACAACTTTTAAAGCCATTCCCCGTGTTTAGTGTACATGGCGTCCAACATGTTTGGAATCGACAGAAGTAAAGTTGAACTTACGAACAGACCTTTAAAACCTAACTCGTTTGTGAGTGGAGGAGCCCCTGTATTTGGCTATTTCTATACATTTCTACATGCTGATAAGCCACCCTGTGGAGCTATCATTTGTGAAAGAGAGCTATAAAGCTATGCATAGGCTCAGTGAACCTTACGTGGTAAAAAAAAACTAGTCTATGTTATTGAATTATTATTACAGGACATCTGTGAAAAAAGAGATTCATAACTCATCGGATTTCTTCCGGATAAATAAATATGATTCTGATCCTTGAAACTCGTGTGACAGACGATATCGCTAGTGGACATCCGTGATAAAGAGCTTGATAGCTCATCGGATTTCTCCCGTATAAATTAAAAACATATATGATTCTGATCATTGAAACTCGTGTGACAGACGATATCGCTATTGGACATCCGTGATAAAGAGCTTGATAGCTCATCGGATTTCTCCCGCGATAAATAAATATGACGATTCCGATCACGGAAACTCGTGTGACAGACGACGTCCTTGCCGGGCGCCGTCTGCGACAAAAAAAAAAAAGCTTCATCGCTCGTCGGATTTCCTCCTTTCGGGTCCAAAGCAAGACTCTGATTCTAAATACTTGGGAGATTCCGACCGTAAACACCGTTAAGAGAGTCTGCGACGAACCTCACCCAAGATGGCCCCCAGGTATTAACGTGGGGTTCAACCGTGCGGCCGCTGATGATGCAGATGATGATGTTGATGCCGCCTCCGCCGCTGCTGGTAATGATGATGGTGACGATGATGATGATGATGGTGACGATGATGATGGTGATGATGGTGACGATGCCGCGTTAATTGAGCGCCAGTTGACGAGACGGCGCGCTGGGGCAGGAGGCGTCGGAGTGCCGTGAACTCTGCTGCAGCTGCAGCAGCAGCAGCTGTTGTGTCGTAAGAGACTTTGTGTGTGTGTGTGTGAGAGAGATAGAGGGAGATGGAGGAGAGGGATGGGAGATGGGGAGCGGTGATGAGAGAGATATTGGGAGGGAGGGAGATTGAGAGAGATGATGATGATGAGATGGAGAGATGGGGCAGAGGGATGGGAGATGGGGAGAGGTGATGAGAGAGATATTGGGAGGGAGGGAGATTGAGAGAGACGTGGGGAGTAAGTGAGACGGAGAGAGATGATGATGATGAGATGGAGAGATGGGGCAGAGGGATGGGAGATGGGGAGAGGTGATGAGAGAGATATTGGGGGGAGATAGATTGAGAGAGACGTGGGGAGTCAGGGAGACGGAGAGAGAGATGATGATGGAGAGATGGGGCAGAGGAATGGGAGATGGGGAGAGGTGATGAGAGAGATATTGGGAGGGAGGGAGATTGAGAGAGACGTGGGGAGTCAGGGAGACGGAGAGATGATGATGAGATGGAGAGATGGGGCAGAGGAATGGGAGATGGGGAGAGGTGATGAGAGAGATACTGGGGGGAGGGAGATTGAGAGAGACGTGGGGAGTCAGGGAGACGGAGAGAGATGATGATGATGAGATGGAGAGATGGGGCAGAGGAATGGGAGATGGGGAGTAAGAGACGATGAGAGAGAGAGGATCAGAGCAATCGGAGAGTATGAGAGATGGGAGATGATCAGAGATGGAGGGGAAGATGAAAGCGATGGAGAGAGGGTATGAGAGAGAGAGATGGAGAGTACGAGAGATGGGAGATCGGGAGAGACGATGAGAGGTTAGATAGATGGAGAGCAAGAGATATGGAGAGAGATCATGATGAGAGAAATATGGAGTAAGATGGGAGAGATTGAACGGAGAGATGAGTGAGAGACGGAGGGAGGGTGTGAGAGAGATGGGGAATGAGGGAGATGGCAGATGGGGAGAGATGATAAGAGATTGAGATAGATAATGAGATAGATTGAGAGGGGTGGGAGAAAGAGACGAGAAATGGGATGGAGAATGTGGAGAGAGATGAGATGGTGAGAAAGAGTGAGAGACGGAGATCCCTTTAATAATGGTGGAGATAAGCCACACCGTGAGGAGATACACGCAGTGCCGAGGGGATGAAGGATGGGGATGGCGGTGGAGAGATGTTAACTACCTCGCCTGGTGTACAGGAGGTCGTGGGTTCGATCCCGACCCTGACGCTTGCTTTATCTTTGGAGTTTGCGGTGTGTCTCTCTCTCCACGTGGTCGCGTGGATTTTTCTCCGGGTCCTCCGGTTTTCCAAACCCCCACGTTTAGAATCAACATCCATGCGTTTAGAGCGCATTTGGCTACTTACTGTAAATGTCCACGTGATAAGCCATCATTTGTGGCCAAGTTTCTTCTGAAAAAGAGCCGTCTAGCTTGGTGGGACTTATCTGGTAAAATAAAATAAATATATCGTTTAGTTTTGAGGTGGTGGGTGCACCGCGGGACGCCGGCCACCCGAGTTCAAATTCCCGCTCACCGGGCCTCCCCTAGGTCGACTCAGCCTCAAATGAGTCCCCGTTGCCGTGTGTAAACATCAAAGGCGTGGTGTTGGCCACCCATCCCCCCTCATGTGCCGTGCCGGCCTTCACAGGTGCTGCTCGCTAACAGGTCTTGAACTTGGCATTTGTATTTTGGGCGATCTAACGCGCAATTTTTTTTTTAAATAGATAATATTGATCGCGGAAGCCCACGTGTTAAACTGACCAGATCGGTGACACTTGGGGATGGAGTCATTATTAATTGATCGTTCTTGATTTGAAGCGTCCATCATCAGGTGTAATGTAACGACGGACGCTTGTGTTGCCCCCGAAACGTCGTGATTTATTTTATTTGATACCTACGTGACTTTACCGAAGGAACCAAAGAGTAATTGATCGTTATTCGAGGCTGACGCAATTCATGTCATTCATGAGAGTCGCCGTTAATGACCACAGACGTGAGTGCGGATTCATGAATGACGCTACCAATGGCACCACCGATGAATGCCAAAAAATGAAGCAGGCGTCGTTAAGTTGGTCACGAGCAGCCGAGGAAAACGGCTCGGTGGCGAAGCGAGAGATGGGGGGGGGGGGGGTCAGATGATGAAAGAGTCGCAATGGTTCTCATCACCGCTTTCGAACTGGGTCCGGAATGAGCCGGGACTATGAATGTTGAGGAGCGAGGCACGTCAATAAGATGGGAGTGCGGTCGAGGTGAGGATCTAGAGGAGAGGGAGGTAAGTAACTCAGCCAGGCCATTAACTGGTCAAAGGTGTGTTGCGTCATTCGCGACGAATAGGTCCTCGTACGGAGTCAGTCATGGTTTGGGGAAAAAAAATACTCGGGTCATCTTAAAAATAATAATAATAGGGCGCCACAAGAGCTATATACCTCTTTTTGAGAAGCGACCTGGCCACAAATGATAGCTCAACGAAGTGGCTTATCACGTGGAAATGTATTGCGGCCAAACACTCTAAACGCACGTTGTGTCTAAACGTGGGGCGAAAAACCAGAGGAGCTGGAGAAAAATCCACGTGACCACGGGGAGAGAGACAGCGAGAGACTGCAAACTCCAAACATAGAGCAGCAGGCATCGTCAGGGTCGGGATCGAACCCAAGACCTCCTGTATACAAGGCGAGGCAGTTAACATCTCCCAGCCACTCTTCCCTACCCCTCTTGTTACTTTGGGAAGGATTTCAAACCCCATCGCGCCCGGGGCTAAGCCGCGTGTCGGTGACGCAACGACGTTAGAGTCTTGATTGAAAGCTTTCGTGACTGCAGGGATTCATTTTCTTGGTTATTTTGGTAAAATCACGTAGAAGGGAAACAATAAAATAATAAAATAATGTTTCCCTTCTACGTGGCTTTACCGAAATAACCAAGAATATGACGTTAGAGTCCCTCGCTCAGGAACGTCTCCTGCGCTGTGCCCAACTTCGCTGCCACCTCTCGCTGCAAGCGTCTGCCGCCCCTCCACGCGTCTCCCGCCTCTCAATCCAAGCGTGCGTGCGGCAGAGGCTGGGGCGGGAGGAGGACAACGCGTGGAGATGAAAGCGGCAGGGACGGACATTCTGTGGTGCTTCTTTTACAAAGCTTCGGGGTTAACCCAAGTGCAGGCTGCCGGATTGCGTTACCGACGCAGCCGCACGGTAACCGCCTCCGCCCGCGTGAGATAACCTTTCTGTATCTCCCTCGCAGCACGGTAGGATGGCGTGCCTGGTTGGCCCCGCCGCCCCTTCCCTCACGCTCCCTGCACCACCCCTCCCGGAGCCTAGCGGGGACTTCCCGGCGTGGCTGGAGGCGCAGGGCGTGAATGCGGAGGTGGCCCGGGCCATGGACTCGGAGCTGGGCATCCGGGACTACGGGGTCCTGCGCGCCTGCGTCGGGGACGGCCTCGTGCGGGCCGAGCTGCTGGCCGCGGCGCGCGACCGCCTGCCCTTCGGCTTCTACGCCGTGCTGCGGCGGTTCGTGGCGGCGCTGCTGCTCCCGGACGACCCCCGCGCGCCGTCCATCGGCGCCGCCGCCGGTGCCGCCGCGGTGAAGGACGCGACGCTGGTGAGCCTGGTGGAGGCGCTGCTGGCGCTGCTCGCGGGGCTGAGCCGCGAGTTCTCGGCGTGCGTGGGCCGGCTCGACGCGATGGACATCGGAGCCCTCGCCGCGGCCTCGAGCGCCGGCGGCGGAGAGGGCGCCCACGGCCTCGCGGCAGCCGAGGAGGGCGCGGAGGGTGGCGGCGAGCGTCCAGGTGAACGTCGAGGCCATAGCGAGCGTCGCTTCGGGGCATTGATCGATCGTTAATCATCAGAATCTTTTACTTATTGCTGCAGGAATTTGATGAGATGTAAAGCTCTTTTTCACTCGACGTTTGGTAGGGGGCACGGGGTCAGAACCTTACAACAACAAACAATACAAAAACATGGTAAGAGTGCAAAGTATAGGAAAGGTAAACAAATAACTTAACAACATGTACAAATATTAACTAAACGATTATTTTTGTTTTACTCAAAGCTTTCGTGACTGCAGGGATTCATATTCTTGGTTCTTCACCGAAAGAACCAAAGAACATAAACGATTATTGTTTATCGTACCGGGAAAACCCGCCTTCAGAAGCGTCCTGGCCACAAATGATAGCTCAACGAAGTGGCTTATCACGTGGACGTTCATAGCACGTTGATTGTAAATGTGGAGGGGGAAAAAAAAAGAGCCGGAGGACCTGGAGATAAATCCACGGGACCACGGGGAGAGGGAGAGAGACACGCAAACTCCAAATATGCAGACGTCAGGGTTGGGGCTCGAACCCACGTACTCCCGTACACCAGGCGAGGGAGTTAACATCTCACCACCACGGCGCCCTAATGGGTTCACGGCACCTGTTGCATCGCGTTGCCACAGGCTACTACCATTCACCACATTGTCAAACAAAACCGATTTGGCTCGTGAATTGAATTGCAACCATGATTCACGGCAATTTGTCACACCACCGGTGGGGGCGGTGCGAGGTGGGGGTGTGTGGATGTTGGGGGGGGGGGGGAATGATGAGGGTGAGTAATTCTTCCGCTAATAGTGTCTCTGGCGATTGCGAATTTTTTTTCTTGACTGAGGCGCGGTTGTATTTCCCAGATCAGTGTGGAGAGGCCCATTCTGCGGCGTGGAATGAACTGAAAAGAGAGACGTGTTACACGAGCCAAGGTAAGGCGATTTCAAGCTCATGGAATGGGTGGTGCAGTTGGGTGCAGTGGATAGTTGGCGCGCACCGTCCTGCGAAATCTGGCGACCTGAGTTGGATTCTTGGCCGCGTGTCTTTGGCGCCGTCCATAAATGACGTCACGCACCTAGGGGGGGGGGGGGGGGTGGGGGGGGTTAAGACATTTGTGACGATGTGTGACGAGGGGGGGGGAGGGGGGTTTGAGGAATGTGACGTCACATCAAAATGTGCAACTTTAAATAAATATAGACAACACATTCTACTTAATTAAAAAAACTTTTTAATAAATGTTTTCTCCTACAACATCAGAGTGTGGCGCCACATTAAATACGCACTACAATGACAATAGTTTAAAGCGATTTGAAGCAGAACTTTGTTCTGGGGGGGTCTGACTTTGTGTGACAGGGGGGGGGGGTCAAAAATCTTTAAAATCGCGTGACGTCATTCATGGATGGCCCCTATGAAGGCCGGCACACGAGTTGATTAACAAATAAAACGCAAACACCTTCGTCGATAACACTGCGTGGCCTTAAAATAAAAATACATAATCGGCGACGTTTCAGGCAACGGGCCTACGTAGAGGTGCCAGAAAGATAGACTGCATACAGGTTGGACACTGCACTTAGCATCACGGGGCCTGATAATAATTGCCTTCTCAGAATTTTACGATTAATAATCATTAACAATGTTAGGCCCCATCAGGCCCCATCGGTGTTAAGTGCAGTCTGCAACCCTTATGAAACATGCATCTTTATTGTTTAGATTGCTTTTCTGCTTTAAATTTCCACATGATAAGCCACTTAGAAAAACATTGAAGTGCTCTTGGCACTGTTTGTTCACACAACTGCATTCATTGCACAGTTTGCTATGTGCGGTGTGAAAGAAGTTCAACATACGTACGTACATTCACGCACAGTGTGGAAACTATTTTTATTTTACCTGGTAAGGCCCACTGAGCTGTATAGCTCTTTTTCAGAAGCGGCGAAGTGGCTTATCTCGTGGAAATTGATAGCAGCCAGATGCTCTAAACGCATGACGTTGATTCTAAATGTGGAGGGACACCGCGGGTAAGCCGGAGAAAAATCCACGTGACCACGGAGAGAGAATGTCAACTCCAAATATACAGGCATCAGAGTCGGGATCGAACTCACGACCTGTAGACCTGGGAAAGTATTTAACATATTCGCCACTTCATTCTACGCCAAACAGACGGAACGGGTGGAGTCCACATTTTTTCTGCGGCCGCACTTTTACTGGTGTAGTGTTCGACTTTACGCGGACAACTTCTGTCTTTCTTCGAACACCGCTTTATTTACAACATTCAACATGTCCTCCACCCTCCACAGTATCCTGGTCACCACGGCTCGCTCGCCGTGCTCCGCTCGTCTCGCTCACCACCTTTGTCTCCCCACTATCACTTCACTTGCTTCACACTCAGCGACTCCCCGTTCAGCAACTCCGCACACAGCGTCTTCAGCTCCGCTATCGCTTCGCTCTCTCCACTGCTAACTACTTCGTCTTGCTTCACACTCTGTTCCAACTCTGTTTCCCACTCTGTCTCCAAACTCTGTTTCCAAACTCTGTTTCCAAACTCTGTTTCCAAACTCTGTTTCTACTCTGTTTCCAACTCCACGTCTTCCTCGTCCAGCTCCCAATTCCAACTCCCTGCTCTCTGTGTCTCCCCCAATTTATCCCCATTCTCATTATCGCTAATTTATTGGCCCGCGTGCCTCCGCAGCTTCGCGTCCTCAAACACCTGCCTGCCTCCAGACATCTCGACGCCTCCTCGCCCTTGACAACAGCCACAGCCCATCACCGCCGTTGCTGATCCTCTGGCTTAATTGGCCCAACCGTTACCTCATCATCCCAGCCTTTGCACCTGGCTGTCCTAACACGACCCACACTGTTTTCGCCTTCTCCGCAGGCTGACCCCAGATAACCCCACACTGTCCGTGTGATCATGCAATCGCGCAGTTTCCACAACACACCTTCATACTCCACTACACGGTAGCTCCACGCCCACGGGGGAAGGGAATTTTCGCAACATTTCTGCGACCCATCAAACCCTCGCTGTGCCTCCAATACTGCCGGATTGCAGGCGTGTGTAGCCACAGCACTGCAAGTAATTCTGCAGTCACGTAATTAATTTGTCGCTCGCCTCTTCCCTTGTGGCCAGGTGAAACGAGCGAGGTCCCGGTCCCGATGTGGCCAGAGATCAAAACGGAGCCAGTGGATCTCGCTCAGGGTAAGGCGTTTTGCGAGGCCCTGGACCGGCTTGCTCACCCACTCTTGGTGGTTTTCCTGCCACACTTGAATCATCATCATGCCCATCTGCATCACGACCCATGGGGCAGATAGCCCGTCGGTGTCCACTGCACATTTCTTCATTTTGTTTCCACTTTCCTCTGTCTTGCAGTGCCAATATGCTCAAGTAGTGTCCACGTCTCTCTGGCACGAATCTCTTATGATGTTGTCGTCAAGCAATTCTCTATCCGGTTCTTTCCCATTTTTTCCCGAACGACACACTTTTCATTTTCCTGTTGTCCATCCCACACGTGTGTCCAAATAGTGCCAGTTTCCTTCTCGTCACTGCCCGCATCCTCAGGTCTTCTGCTATGTGCAACCTTTTTCTCACCTCGAAGTTGATCACACTTACGGCTCTTGGCAGTATCGTGTAGGCCCGCGCCGTTTCGGTAATGGGCAGTGTTATCCGTTGAATGATGTAATTTTGGTGACGATGTAGGGATTGCGATACGCTACTCCACGACATGACTTTCATGATTAACGATTCAACAGCTCTGACTCATCATACAGAGCGCTTGCGATTAGGACTGTTTAGCCGTTATCGATTTCTAGACAATAATTTTCGGAATCGCCAATCACTTCTCGAAAGTTATGCCGTTCGAGAGTTGAATGCTGGTATATTTTAGCGACGAATTTTAACCCGATTGGAAGACGCGCGAGCGTCCAAGCTGTACGGCGCGTTGCGACCGGTCGGCTGGCAGCCCTCATTAGGCACCGGCGGCAGGGCTCATTGGTGTGACCGCACGGTATGCTCCAGCAAAGACAAAGATCTCCCCCCCCGCCCCCCCCCCCCCCCCCGTAGCTTTCACAGACTGTAGGGGCAAGTGGTGTTAGCGAGTAGCATCGATGAAGGCCCGGCATGGCACGCAAAAGGGGTGTGGGTGGCCAGCACGACGACGCCCGACCGTCTTTGCCTCCCAAAGTGGCGATGGTTACTACGTACCGCACCAGGTCCTCATAGGCACACGCAGGGCTCGACTTATATTTCGATACGATAACCAATTGTATTTTTTTTTATAAAAAAAAAACGTGCTGGACGCAATCACCGATAACCCAAAAAAATACAATGTCAACAACGCTACGTGAGTTGCGACCGCTCTGCAATGGTGCCGTCACATAATGGAAACCCGATGACTCGGCATCCGATCTCTTATAGGGCCAAGCGCAGTGAGCAGTCGCTGCCCGACGATCGCGTTCGTCGGATCGGCCTGTCGGCAGACTGTGGACGACGAGCTCGCCGCACTCACGCCAGACGCAGTCGCGCTCGCGCAGCCGCGGTTGGAGGAGGAAGGGGCGGGGTGGGAGGGGGAAGGGGCGGAGTGGGAGGGGGAAGGGGGGGAGGAGGAGGTCTGCGACGATGAGGCTGTCATGGCCGCCACCGCCACGTTCGCGGCCGACACGCGCGTCGCTCCGGAGCAGCGGAACGACCCGGCAGAGCATTCCGCCGCCGCCTTCGCCGCCGCCTTCGCCGGCGTCCCGGACGCCGGCAGGAACCACCGCCCGGAGCGGTCGCGGCCGTGCAAGCGCTCGTTCTGCGAGCGGCGCTTCGAGGAGCCGGCGTACCTCAAGCGGCACGAGCGCACGCACGCGGGCGAGAAGCCGCACCGCTGCGACGCGTGCGGGCGCGCCTTCGCGCGGCGCTCGGGCCTCGAGTACCACCGGCGCGTGCACACGGGCGAGCGGCCCTACGGCTGCGAGGTGTGCGGCCGCGCCTTCGCCCAGTACGGCAACCTCAAGGTGCACCGGCGCACTCACACGGGCGAGCGGCCGCACCGCTGCGACGTGTGCGGCCGCTCGTTCACGCTCTTCTCGGGCCTCAAGTACCACGCGCGCACGCACACGGGCGAGAAGCCCTACCGCTGCGACGTGTGCGGGCGCTCCTTCTCGCAGTGCTCCAACATGAAGACGCACCAGCGCACACACCTGGCCGCGGCCGCCGCCAACACCTGCCCGTGATCGCTCGTAGCTCGTCGTCGTCGTTTTTATTTTTATTTAACCAGGGTGAAAGTGAACGGTGCAAACCCCTGTAATTGCTCGCTGCTGGCGGAAGGCCATCAGCACTAGAGGGAGCTTAAGGGAGCCACTCTACAAGGCGTTTTGGTTAGACTCTTCCATGTTGGCCCGGACGGCCCAATAAACGATTTTGATCTTTCTTGCTTCTGCCCCCCACAACCCCCTTACACTGTAAAAAGCTGCCCCTACGCGTCAAAGGATCCGCTTCACTGCCCAGTTTTCGTTCATCCCTTAAAACCGCTCGCTTACTCTTCCCTCGGTTACTCAAACACCTCTTCCCCGTCACTTAACGCCATCCCTCTTCCCGACTTCCCTGCCCATCCATCGCACTCGCTCATCGTGAATCGCTCATTGTCACTTTCATCATCTTCTTGGTTCTTTCGGTAAAGTCACGTAGAAGGGAAACAATAAAATAATAAAAATATAAAACAATAAAATTATCCCGACGTTTCGACTGCAACACAAGCAATCGTCATCAGGTGCTGTGGGTTTCACTCCGTGGAATATCTGTCCCCCCCCCCCCCCCGCACTGTTCTTCATGCTTTGTGCTGGATTCTGGTTCAATAAAATAGAGGCCGCCCTAGAATGTAGCAGTGATGTCGAGGTCACGACCTTTGTGAGCTGGCGTGGTGGGTTTTTCTTGCCGGCCATGACGCCGAGCATTGCCTGCGGGGAAAGAAATCGTGAAAAGTGAAGAGCCGAAGATCGTTCGGAGTCTTTGCCTACGACTGTGGCTTAATGACCGATCGCGTAACTGACCGGAAGCTTCCGCTGTCCAAATAGTTGAATTCTTTGTTCAGCGCCTTGATCAAGGCGCTCTATGAGTTTAAATAAGATTAGTACAATCTAGATTTGAATTTTTTGTGACTGCAGGAATCCATACTCTTTGGTTCGTTTGGCAAAGTCACGTAGGAAGAAAAATTAAATAACAAAAAATAGTTTATCACGATGTTTCGATCGCAACACGAGCGGTCGTCCTCGGGCGGAAAAAAAATAAAAATACTCCAGCAGTGGAACTGCTGAACCGGCGAGAGAGCATTTACAACACGAGGTTATTAACCTCTTAAAACGTCTTGATGTGTTATTTTTTGTTTTGTTTAATTTTTCTACCTACGTGACTTTACCGTAAAGACCGAAGAGTAAGGTGAGTACCCAGAATGTTATTCGACAACACGCGACAGCCCCATCAAACCAACTTCTTTACGGGGCGATAAAGGAGTAGCCACGTTCAGTCACAGCCCCCTTCTTGTCAGTGCCCGGCTGGAGGACGGAGGCCTTCTCACCACGCTGCGTCGCTCGTTCTGGGATTTGTTCCACCGTGCGCTTCTCCACGCTGGCCAGCGAGGTGTTGGTGAATGGGGCCAGGGAATGGGGAGCGGCACCCGTTCACATAGCGCTCGCCGCCGACGTTAGCCCTGGCCCGGGAATCGAACTTGTCTTGAACCCTCGGTGCTGATTGGTAGCGAATCATCGGCTATTCACTCAGAACGGTTTGTATATACTGTGTTTCATTGGTATTGAACAAAGCGCGTTTGGCAAGAATGCATTTGTTTCATAATACGTGTAAATATATAAATGTGTCGTTAAACCCGCCACCACCCGACACACCCAATTAGTAAGGTTTGTCACGTAAACAAAACGTGGCACATTCATTACTAGTGTAGTGGCAGGGTTGGCCACGATCGCCACTACTCATAGCCGGCAGTACAAGCGCAGGCCAGTAGAGAGCAGAAGGGAGGCCGGACCTGCTCAACAGTAATGATGGGCAAGTTGGCCCTAGGCAATCCCTGGTGGGGGGGGGGGGGTGAGCATCGGGACCAACGGTTGGGACCCCAGGCCCCCGGAAGGGGGCTGGGGGATGAAGTCATTCTCCAGGGCCTTCGAGAAGGTTCTGTAAGGGAAGGGAGGCGTGGCCAGGGGCGGAGTCAGCCGGGACGGCCCGAGTCGGTATCGTCCGGCTGAAGACTGAAGCCCGACCTGGAGCCCTGAAGAGAGAAGAGCCCTGTGGGCAAAACCGAACCCCTGGCTAGGGTGAGGCTTGAGCTGTACAGAGCTTATAACAAGAGAAGACTCAAGCCCCGGCAGTGTAGGCGCAGCGATAGCCAGAAGAGGCGAGCTAGCCGGCTACGTAGAGCATCGGGTGAAGGGGGCCGTTACCCCTTTGTATTGTAGCTTGTTGAGTTGTTAAATGTTATAATAAACGTGTGGGCCTCTAAGTGGAAGTTCCCTCCAGTTTATTACCCACTACACTAGTACAGCAACACCGGTTGTATGTTGGAGAGTAAACCCACCGGATGTGTATAAACGTCTGTGTATGCAACATCGCTGTGCTACGTTTCATGATCAAGCTCAACTTTCCAAGAGCACTTAACTCACTCTGGTTTTGCCTGCACCTGCATATCTGATGCATCTCCAAAGCCTCCCGTGAATTGTGCGTGACCCATCCCCATTGAATCCCTAACCTGTCACCTGTACTTCTCCATATAGACCAGACGAATCCTCCCGTAAATCACGTGCCTTCTTGTGTATCCCCCCCCCCAACTCTGAATCGCGATACTATTTCACCCCCCCTCCACACCGCCTGTGAAAACAGACGTTTCGGGCAATGGGCCCTGATTCATAGCGCACGGAGAGGCCACATGAGAGAGACATTGAGTGGATAACATGAGTCGGGCACCTGCACCTGTTCCATAGCTGTCAACCCATACGGGTTACCCCGTATTCGTGTGCAGGGAAATTTCGTATTCATGTCCATACGACGAACAGCCGTTTCAATACGGGCAACATTTTTATATTTTTTGTCTATTTATTTGTGTTTCTCCCCTTGTGATGGGACTTTGTAGGGTGAACGTTGAAATGTATTAGAGGCACGGGGTGACCAATTAGGTCTGAATTGTTTCGTAATCAGGTAGGCACTGATAAGGGGTTGAGAGGTATGTAATACACTATACGCTACTATACACTACACTATACACTACATTACTATACACTACATTACTATACACTACTATACACTACACTATACACTACAATATTATACACTACATTACTATACACTACAGTCTACACTATTATACACTACACTATTATACACTACACCAGGGGTGTTCAAACTACGGCCCGCGGGCCAACTGCGGCCCACCATACATTTTTAATTGGCCCGTATCAAAGTCTAAAAATATAATGGACTATGGCCCACTGTATTGCACTTCTTAGTTTAAAAACTAGGTGGCGCTATTGTCTTGATCAAAGCAGCGTGTCCACAAAGCAAGCAATCGAAGAAAAAATTTGCTCAGGGTCACCAGAAATGCCGGAACCGAAGAGACGCAAGATTGCAAGCGAGTGCAGAAAATTTCAGACTCGGTGGAAAAATGAACTTTTTTTTCATAGAAACCAAGGGGAAGTGTGTTTGATTGATTTGTAATGAGAGTGTTGCCGTGATGAAAGAGTACAATGTACGACGGTATTATGAAACGAAACATCAGACTTTAAATTTTTATTTAAAGCTTTCGTGACTGCAGTGATTCATATTCTTGGTTCTTTCGGTAAAGTCACGTTGAAGGTAATTTGTTTTTGTTTCCCTTGTTTCCCTTCAACGTGACTTTACCGAAAGAACCAAGAATATGAAACATCAGACCTTCACGTCCTACACTGGCGCCGAGCGTAAAGAGAAGGTAAAGCAAATGGCAGCTAGCCTGCTAACGCAGCAGCAGGTTTGTTTTCCGTGCTAACAAAGCTCAAGAAAATGCAACAATGGCCAGTTATGAAATAGCTCAACTCATTGCCCTACACGGGAAACCATTCTCAAACGGTGACTTCATCAAATAGTGCCTCACTAAAGTCGTGGGAATAATGTGCCCGGAGAAAATTCAGGATTTCAACGATGATAGCATGTCCAGAAATATGGTTGTGCGGCGAATTGAAGACTTGTCGGCTCACTTAAAACAGCAAGTGTCAGATAAAGCTTGTGCTTTCGCACAGATGCCACGGACACTGCACAGCTGTTAATTGTTTTGCGGGGAGTTGATGATAATTTTTGCATTACGGAGGAACTGCTCGATCTTCGGAGTCTAAAGGGGACAACAACTGGGAAGGACATGTTTGAAGCTGTGTCTGATTCAATTGACCAGGCTGGAGTTAAATGGGACAAGTTGTGTGGAATTACAACGGATGGGGCTCCAGCAATGACAGGCGAGCGCAAAGGAATGGCCTCTATGGTGAGTGCCAAGGTGAGGGAGAGCAGAGGTGAGGCTGTCAAAATGCACTGTGTCATCCACCAAGAAGCCCTCTGTGCCAAGATAATCCCGCTTGGCGATGTGATGAACACAGTTGTGAAAACTGTCAACGTAATTCGGGCACGAGGGCTTTACCACAGATAATTTCAAGCGTTCCTCTCTGATGTCGACGCTGAATACGGGGACCTACTCTACCATTCTGAAGTGCGCTGGCTCAGTCGCGGCTCCGTGCTGCAGCGGTTTTATTCCCTGAGATCAAATATCGACAAGTTGTTGAAAGTAAAAGGGCAGACCTCTCCATGAGATCAGTGACCCTTTATGGTTGGTAGACCTGGCTTTTTTTTAGTTGATATCACTGGACCATCTCAACACCCTGAACAAGAGACTACAAGGCAAAGAGCAGCTGGTACCACAGCTGTATGAAAGCATTCCGTGCGAAGCTCCGTCTCTTCGAGTCACAAACTGCGCGACTTCAATGTAGCGCACTTCCCCATGCTGACCCAAATCAAAAGCGCATTTCCAAATGCCAAGCTCTCGGCAAAAACGTGAGAATATGTGTCTGTGATCACATCTCTCATGACAGAATTCAGTCAGCGCTTCCAAGATTTTTCTGTCATTGAGAAGGAAATCACACTGTTTGCGGCTCCGTTTTCAATGGATGCAGACGAAGTGGAGGAGAGTCTGCAATTAGAACTGATCGAAATTCAGTGTGATGATTCTCTGAAGAATCAGCATCAGCTTCTCTCCCTACCTGACTTCTACCGGAGTTTGGAAAAGGCTAAGTTTCCTCTGATGAGACGCCACGCAAAACGAATGATGAGTCTGTTCGGCTTTACATACATCTGTGAGCAGACATTCTCTCTGTTAACGCTGAACAAAAGCAGACTGAGAACCAGAACGACCGACAGCCATCTCCGTGACGTCCTTCGCATCTCAACCACCAAACTTACTCCTGACCTGCCAGCTATCCTTAAGACCAAAGCGCAGCATCACTGCTCCCACTGAGCGCAACATTCTTTCCATTACAGTCGAGTTAAAAATATACACAGTTTTCGTTTGTTAATAAGCCCAATTACTTAATAAATTCAGTCAATTCAAGTTGATGACAATTTTTTAACAAACGTTAGTTGATGTGTTAACAAACCCAATAATTTATTTGTGTAATAAGCTTGAAATATCCACATCCCCTATTTCTCTTCTTGTCTCTCCCTTCATACAGGACAATGAAGGGGGATCAGCACCCTAAGAACCAATCTGAGGCTGTCACTGAGAGAATGACCTGCCAACCTTTTTGTAAAAAATAAAATGAAAATCTACTAATAGAGAGCTATGATGGAGGCTTTTTTTCTTCAAACATGTTCAATTATCAAACGAAATTTACCTGCATTTGATTGATTTTGCCAATACTAGTGCATGAGAAGTGAGGCAGTATACCTCACGTCTAGTGAGTGGCCCAGTCCTTCGTTTATTTGTCTGTATGTATGTGGCCCTCGGGAAAAAAAGTTTGGACACCCCTGCACTACACTATACACTACACTACTATACACTACACTACTATACACTACACTACTATACACTACACTACTATACACTACACTACTATACACTACATTACTATACACTACACTATACACCACACTAGACCACACCTGTCATCCTATACGGTTTAGCCGTATTGTTATGCAGGGAAGGTAGGGCACCGATAAGGGACCGTCCATAAATTACGTCACGCACCTGGGGGGGGGGGGGGGGGGGGGTTCAGACATTTGTGACGATGTGTGACGAGGGGGGGGGAGTTTGAGAAATGTGACGTCACATCAAAATGCGACCTGGCGACAAATGATAGCTCAACGAAGGGGCTTACCGTCACGTGAACATTTATATCAGCAGTAGCCAACTAACTCGAAACAATCTTCAGCAATACCAATACCCGCCAAAGTGACGGTGACGTAACCACGGCGCCTGTGCCAGGCTAGGTGCACTTTGAGGAGGTCACGGGACAGATCCAGCAGGTGCCATGGGTTGGCTGACTGAGATGACCACCGGTAGGTGGATAATCGAGACAAATACAAAGACAAATATCCCCCCCGTATAGCCTTAACATACTTGTTGGGGCAAGTGCTGTTAGCGAGCACCTATGGGGTCGTCCATAAATGACGTCACGCACCTGGGGGGGGGAGGGGTCAGACATTTGTGACGATGTGTGACGAGGGGGGTGGGGATTGAGAAATGTGACGTCACATAAAAATCCGCAAATATAGACAATACGTTCTACTTCATTAAATATACTTTTTAATAAATGTTTTCTCCTACAACATCAGAGTGCAGCGCCACATTAAATACGCACTACAATGACAATAGTTTAAAGCGATTTGAAGCATGTTTTATATATTTTTTGGGGGGGGGGGCAGAGCTTTGTGACGTCATTTGAGGGGGGGGTCTAACTTTTTGTGACGCCATGTGACGATCGTCCAAAATCGCGTGACGTCATTAATGGACGGCCCCTAAGTGGTGGGGGGGGGGGGGGTGACAGGTATGACTCTTCACACAGCCAGTGCCCCCCCCCCCCAACACACCTGACGATGATGTCACTTATTTATTTATGCCCCCCTTCTTTCTCCGATTGACACCGGTCGAACACATGGGTTACTGATTCTTTCGGTAAAGTCACGACGTTTCGATTGCAACACAAAACAATCATCATGAGATGATCGTCGTGATTTTTTTGATTTTTCTACCTACGTGACTTCACCGAAAGAACCACAGAAGATGAATCCCTGCAGTCACGAAATACTTCAAATCGAAATTTGACATCGTTCGTTGCTCTGCGCCTCGGAGCAAATTCGCCGCGGTCCCTCACCACCCCCCCACCACCACCTCCCCCCACCACCTCCCCCCCACCCGCATCGAGCGCGAGGCACCGCGGCGAATCTGCGGCTAGCGGAGGGCGTTGAGTCGGCGGCGATGGTCGTGGTAGTGGTCGCGTCTCTACTGTTAAACATCAACAACAACAACTACAGTAGCGCGTGTGTTTGCGTGTTTTAAAACCAACTACGATCATTAGATTTAGCACTGCTGTTGCAGAAAGTTGTGTCTTCTTGGTGAGCGGGCGTGCGGATTCAGAGAGGAGGGGTTTTTAATTTTTTTGTCCTCCCCTTTCGTCACCCACCACGCCGATCTGACAGCCGGAGGGAGTTCCTGCTAAACGTCGCTTTTTTTTGTTTGTTTGTTAGACAATCCACGGCGAGATACCGGTGTCGATAGCTCGCTCATTGGAAACTACGGACTATAACTGGGTGAGTGAAGCCATCGCTCAAAACTCCTGGATTACTGGGTCGACTGACTCCCCATCACTCGCTTATGACCAATAACTCCCATCACTCGCTTGTGATTGATCAATAACCCCCATCACCCGCTTGTGATCAACTATCCCCATCACCCGCTTGTGATCAATAATCCCCATCACTCGCTTGTGATCAGCTATCCCCATCACTCGCTTGTGATCAGCTATCCCCATCACTCGCTTGTGATCAGCTATCCCCATCACTCGCTTGTGATCAACTATCCCTATCACTCGCTTGTGATCAACTATCCCAATCACTCGCTTGTGATCAACTATCCCCATCACTCGCTTGTGATCAACTATCCCCATCACTCGCTTGTGATCAACTATCCCCATCACTCGCTTGTGATCAACTATCCCCATCACTCGCTTGTGATCAATAACCCCCATCACTCGCTTGTGATCAATAATCCCCATCGCTTGTGATCAACTATCCCCATCACTCGCTCAACTGCTCCATACACAACTCGCTCATGTAAACTAATGACTATCTAATTAAACATTACATCACTCACTATGAATTACTCAATCACTCACTATGAATTACTCACGAAACTACTCCCATCACTTACTCAAGATAAGGGGCCGTCCATAAATGACGTCACGCACCTAGGGGGTGGGGGGCGGGGTCAGACATTTGTGACGATGTGTGACGAGGGAGGGGGGGGTTTGAGAAATGTGACGTCACATCAAAATGGGCAACTTTAAATAAATATAGACAACACGTTCTACTTAAATTTTGATTTAAAGCTTTCGTGACTGCGGGGATTCATATTCTTGGTTCTTTTGGTAAAGTCACGTAGAAGGGAAACAATAAAATAATAAAAATATAAAACATTGTTTTAATAAAATAATAAAAATATAAAAAATTGTTTATATTTTTATTATTTTATTCTTTCCCTTCTACGTGACTTTACCGAAAGAACCAAGAATACGTTCTACTTAATTAAATAGACTTTTTAATAAATATTCTCTCCTACAACATCAGTGCAGCGCTACATTTAATACGCACTACAATGACAATAGTTTAAAGCGATTTGAAGCATGTTTTATATTTTTTGGGGGGGGAGGGGAGCAGAGCTTTGTGACGTCATTTGAAGGGGGGTCTAACTTTTTGTGACGCCGTATGACGAGGGGGGAGTCAAAAATCGTCCAAAATCGCGTGACGTCATTTATGGACGACCCCTAAACTACGGATTAGCTCATTAAAACAACGTCTCCTATAACTCACTATGAATTACTCCATCAATCGATTACAAACTCCTCGTTAACTAAGTGAACTACTCCCATCGCTCACTTATGATAAACTACACCATCACTAAAACTACTCCATACATTCATAAACTACTTACTATCTCAGACAACTCTCATCACTCACTATGAACTTACCCCATAACTCAAACTCCTGATTAACTCAGTAAACTAACCCATCATTCACTTGTTATAAACTACCCCATCACTCACTATGAACTTACCCCATAACTCAAACTCCTGATTAACTCAGTAAACTAACCCATCATTCACTTGTTATAAACTACCCCATCACTCACTATTAACCTTCCCAATAACTCAAACTCCTGATTAACTCAGTAAACTAACCCATCATTCACTTGTTAGAAACTACTCCCATCACTCACTATTAACCTTCCCAATAACTCAAACTCCTGATTAACTCAGTAAACTAACCCATCATTCACTTGTTATAAACTACCCCATCACTCACTATTAACCTTCCCAATAACTCAAACTCCTGATTAACTCAGTAAACTAACCCATCATTCACTTGTTTTAAACTACTCCCATCACTCACTATGAACTTACCCCATAACTCAAACTCCTGATTAACTCAATAAACTAACCCATCATTCACTTGTTATAAACTACCCCATCGCTCAGTATGAATTTACCCCATAACTCAAACTCCTGATTAACTCAGTAAACTAACCCATCATTCACTTGCTATAAACTACCCCATCACTCACTATTAACCTTCCCAATAACTCAAACTCCTGATTAACTCAGTAAACTAATCCATCATTCACTTGTTATAAACTACCCCATCGCTCAGTATGAACTTACCCCATAACTCAAACTCCTGATTAACTCAATAAACTAACCCATCATTCACTTGTTATAAACTACCCCATCACTCACTATTAACCTTCCCCATAACTCAAACTCCTGATTAACTCAGTACACTAATCCATCATTCACTTGTTATAAACTACCCCATCACTCACTATTAACCTTCCCAATAACTCAAACTCCTGATTAACTCAGTAAACTAATCCATCATTCACTTGTTATAAACTACTCCCATCACTCACTATTAACCTTCCCAATAACTCAAACTCCTGATTAACTCAGTAAACTAACCCATCATTCACTTGTTATAAACTACTCCCATCACTCACTATTAACCTTCCCAATAACTCAAACTCCTGATTAACTCAGTAAACTAACCCATCATTCACTTGTTATAAACTACCCCATCGCTCAGTATGAACTTACCCCATAACTCAAACTCCTGATTAACTCAGTAAACTAACCCATCATTCACTTGTTATAAACTACCCCATCACTCACTGTTAACCTTCCCAATAAATCAAACTCCTGATTAACTCAGTAAACTAACCCATCATTCACTTGTTATAAACTACTCCCATCACTCACTATTAACCTTCCCAATAACTCAAACTCCTGATTAACTCCATAAACTAATCCATCATTCACTTGTTATAAACTACTCCCATCACTCACTATTAACCTTCCCAATAACTCAAACTCCTGATTAACTCAGTAAACTAATCCATCATTCACTTGTTATAAACTACTCCCATCACTCACTATTAACCTTCCCAATAACTCAAACTCCTGATTAACTCAATAAACTAACCCATCATTCACTTGTTATAAACTACCCCATCACTCACTATTAACCTTCCCAATAACTCAAACTCCTGATTAACTCAGTAAACTAATCCATCATTCACTTGTTATAAACTTCCCCATCACTCACTATGAACTTCCCCATAACTCAAACTTCTGATCAACTCCCATCCGTCATCATAAACTCCTGAACATAACTTGCGTGAACTACTGCATACACTCACTTATACCCCATCACTTACCAACTACTCCATCACTCAAACAAATGTTTGTGTTTAGTTTGTTGTCCTACCCCCCCCCCAGCACCTCCGATTAGCACGGTTGGCTACGTACGGTGCGAAGCAAGTTCAACGTGCAATACGAATATCTACGTGTAAACTACTCCCATCACTCGCTCGTGCTGAACCACATCACTCATAAACTGCTGAGTAACTCACTATAAACTACCCCAGTCTCTTCTTTGGTTCTTTCGGTAAAGTCACGTAGAATGAGAATAAAATAATAAATTGATAAAATAAAATAACACAATAAAATTCTCACGACGTTTCGGCCACAACACAAGCGGCCTTCATCAGGTGAAGGGACGAGACTGTCTGGAGGACAATTTATTATTTTATTATCATTCTACGTGACTTTACCGAAAGAACCAAAGAAGATGAATCCTTGCAGTCACGAAAGCTTTAAATCAAGATATACCCCAGTCTCGTTGTACACCGCTCAATTCGTAACTCACCCATAAACTCACCCATCCCTCTGGGATTTTTGCACACAGCGTTGGTGTGCGGTGCTTTTTCAGGAATATTTAGCTGTTTTTTTTCCCTGGATTTTCTGTTCGCACAGTCACATAGTCACTTTAAGACGTTTTCTTGTTCATGTTTTTTTTGTTTGTTGCTGATGCACCCGATTCAAGAGCCAAATGGCTCACAGGGCTCTACCAAATAAACGAACTGAACTTAAACTTCTGAGTAACTCGCGACAATCTCCTCAATTGGTATTTAACTCACTACAAACTCCTCAATGACTCGCTCCTTATAAACTCCTCGCAAACCTCCTTGTATTACGCAGTAACTCGCACTTTGAATACGCCACCCGATTCATAATTCACTTTATAGCCTACGAAATTAGAAACTCACCGGGCTACCGAAGACTCGTAACCTCGCTCGCTATTAACGCTTGACAAACTCATAGACTTGCAGATACACTGCTCGCAAATCACTTTAGCGCGATTTACAAACGACTGCTACGACTACCAAGCACGCGAGGCAACAGGTGAAACGAGAGCAAACGCTGCAGAAACCGCATTAAGTTTCAAGTTGCATTTGTTTAATCAGCCGAGAAGTCAAGAGGCCAGGATAGGAGTCTCGCTTGCAAGGGTGATCCGAGCCATTAGTTCTCTGGAAGGGGGCGATGATTGCTATGGGGTGCCACGGTGCCTAGGAGATGTTAACAACCGCGCCTGGTACACAGGAGGTCGTGTGTTCGATCCCGACCATGATGCCTGCTGCTGTATATTTGGAGTTTGCGTGTCTCTCTCTCTCTCATCATCATCATCACGGTGGCTAGGAGATGTTAACAACCTCGCCTGGTACACAGGAGGTTGTGTGTTCGATCCCGACCCTGATGCCTGCTGCTGTATATTTGGAGTTTGCGTGTCTCTCTCTCTCATCATCATCATCACGGTGGCTAGGAGATGTTAACAACCTCGCCTGGTACACAGGAGGTTGTGTGTTCGATCCCGACCCTGATGCCTGCTGCTGTGTATTTGGAGTTTGCGTGTCTCTCTCTCTCATCATCACGGTGGCTAGGAGATGTTAACAACCGCGCCTGGTACACAGGAGGTCGTGTGTTCGGTCCCGACCCTGACACCTGCTGCTGTATATTTGGAGTTTGCGCGTCTCATCATCCTCACGGTGGCTAGGAGATGTTAACAACCTCGCCTGGTACACAGGAGGTTGTGTGTTCGATCCCGACCCTGACGCCTGCTGCTGTATATTTGGAGTTTGCGTGTCTCTCTCTCTTTCTCTCTCCCCGTGGTTGTGTGGATTTTTTTTCTCCAGGTTCTCCGGTCTTTCCCCCCCCCCTCCACATTGAGAATCAACATCAGACGTTTATCTGGCTGTCGCCTGATGATGCTACTTGTAATTGCTGGCAAAACGTCGTACTCCAATTGTCAATGTTGTGGGTTTACTCTCCAACACAGCGGTGTTCTGTACTAGCAACGAATTGGCATGTTTTGTTTACGTGACAAACCTTACTGCTTGGCTGTGGCGGGTTTAACAGCACATATTTACGCGATCTAACCCCCAAATAAAACCTCTCATGGATGCGTTTAGAGTATTTGGCTGCTATACATTTCCACGTGATGATGATGATAAGCCACTTCGTTGAGCTATCATTTGTGATAGCCAGGTCGCTTCTGAAAAACGATCTCTATAGCTCAGTAGGGCCCTTACCTGGTAAAATAACAAAAATATAGTGCGATCTCAATTGAGCAATTTGTGGGTAATTTTTCGAATGTGGTCGGCTTGGATGCCGGCACAGAATGGCCGTACTCTTGCGAATGACCTCGGGGGGGGGGGGGGGGGGGGGGGGGGGGGGAGTGAGTTAACGTCGGCTGTGTGCGAAGCAGACAGTGCGTAGTGGTGTCACGGTTATTATTCCCGCAGTGATAACCGGGGCGGCACGAGAATTCGAACCGTGAAGCCCTGCGACAAGTGGTTTGAGCGTGCTACCGCAAGGCCATGCTACTGTAAACGTTGAGGGCTGGGGTTTAATGAATAACTATTTAAACTAGTAAACTACTGATAAACCATATTCTTAGCTCTTTCGGTAAAGTCACGTTGAAGGGAAACAATAAAATATATAAAACAATAAAAATTATCACGACGTTTCGACCATAACACAAACGTGACTTTACCGAAAGAGCTAAGAATATTAATTACTGCAGTCACGAAAGCTTTAAATCAAAATTTACTGATAAACCACCAATAAATGAGCCCCGTGAGGGTTGGCGACAGATTATTGGTAAGCCGCTGGAGTTGCACACTTTTACATCGAAATTGAAAACTAATTTCTTCATCATGAGGCCTCCTTTGCCAGTACCAAAATATAATAATAGGGTTTTCCCCCTTTTTTTCTGGCGACAAAACTTAAACCTTTTGCAAGGAATCATGTTTACATTAACCACAATACTTGCGGTCAGATGACGCCATCTGGTCGAACACCGTATGAGACTAGGCTCTAAGGAAAGCTGTCTCTGGTGTGGACCAATCAGTTTCAAGGACAATGCATACATTTTTAGATTGTGTTTTTTTATTTGCATTCTGACTGCAAGTATTGTGGTTAATGTAAACATGATTCCTTGCAAAATGTTTCAGTTTTTGTCGCCAGAAAAAAGGGGAAGAAACCCTATTATTATTTAATTTCTTCATAGCTGATTGTTATATTTAGTTTGCTGTCCATTCCCAGCACCTCCGATTAGCACAGTTGGCTACGTGCGGTGGCGAAAAGAAGTTCAACATGCATACATTCGGGAGACTTTCATCCAGAAGTAGATTAGTCATCACTGACTATGATTATGCACAAATGGAAAGTTAACCCCCCCCCCCAACCCGGTTCAGTGTGCGACTGTGGTCACCCAGAACAGAACCGTGGGACGTATAACGACTCAAATCCCGATTCACAAATACGTAGGAAGCGTCGAAGCACCGCTCTGCTACCCCTAACACAACCATCTGGCTCATTTAAACCAGCTCGGTGTGAAAATTGTAGTTGGCGCTGCACATCAACCCTATGTAACACAATTTTTGTTCCTGGGTAGTAAGTGTTATTTCGTAATTGCTTATGCCTAAAAAGTATAGAATACAGCTATTATTCCCCACAAACTTTGCTTTTGTGACCAGGACAGTGATATTTTGAAACTGACCTTTTTTTCACTGAAAAAAACAGACGAATTTGGTGTCCTTTCGTTCACACAGTCAGAAAAAAACAACATATGAACCAAACTTAACATGTATTTGTTACACAGTGTAATGGGAAGGGACTGTTCTCTCGACACGACAAACACCATTGGCAATCCTGCAAAGCGTGACTCAATTACGCAGACCCCCGGGGATGATTGATCGGCTCAGATGAACCCCAGGCTGGAATTAGAACTTGCAACCTTTTGATTGTGAATCGGAGACTCCTGACCGCATTTGTAGGGGTGCTATGGGGAATAAACACATGGCACGGGAAGGTGTGGTTCACCCACACCTTGGTGGCTACAACAACGTCCGCTAAGGCTCCAGTGGGTATAAAGTGCGGGGAGCCAGGGAGCTCGGGGCAGAGTGTGGGGCCCGAGGCTCAAGCAACCAGTGAAGAAAGAAGGCCAGCTAGGTGAGACCCTGGAACTCCTGTGACCGCTGCCCTTTTCAGGGCTGGCACAGCAAGCCAGTGGTGCGGCCCCAGAGCCCCAGAGTCAGAGTCCTTCTAAGGGCCGGTCTGGTCGGCGGGGTGCCGAGATCTGTGCCTAACCAGGGCCGGATCTGATAGCCTCCCTTAGAGCCCTACCAGGAGGAACTGGGAGCCTAGAGCTTAGGCTAGAGAGCCTGGGGTGTGTTCCTGAGTTATACTGGTGGAGGGGCCGCTACCCCTTCTAGTGTAACCCTTGTTAAGGTTTAAATAAATAGTGCTGCTTCTATTCTGCCGTCTCCGTGTCCTGGAACCCACTACCAACTTTAGCCAGTGTGGTATATTCACAGCCCTTGAATCACTCCACTGCTGGATGACTAAGGCCTTCCCATGTGATGTAGGTCATGGGTTTTGTTTGACCATACTTCACCGCGCTGGTCAGTTTGTGTTGGTTGTCCGAGGACCGGTTTGGAGATGTCACTCGCCGCTGATGTTTGCTCTGACCAGGAATCGAACACGGGTTTTGACGAGTTCACGGTGCCAGTGCGTTAACCGCTGCACCACTGGTTCTCCCAATAATAATATTCCAATACATATATTCACTCTATCAAGACAGTTAAAAAGTACAACTCTGCTGCAGTTATGGAGTGGTCTATGCACCTCTGAGAATCAGAATCTTTATTTTGACTGGGAGGAATCTGATGAGCTATGAAGCTCATTTTCGCAGATGTTCAGTTTGGGCGGGTCAGCAAGAGTATGGACGGGTCAGCAGGCAGAGCGAATGGTTTTCTAAAAATAAGTATAGTACTACATAGTCGGTACGTTGCAAGAGAAAAAAATACACTTGTTGCTATTAATACGACGCAGCATTTATAGCAAGAGCAGAGGGCCACTTAAAAAAAAAAAACCTCGGCTTGCGGAGGCTGGAGCTCATGCCCACCCGTCCTCGATTTTGATTTGGGTGCGTTTCTTATTTGCCTCACTGGCAACTTTGGCAGTCTTGGTGATAGCAGGTTTCTCGAGTTCTGCTGGAATAGATCAGCAGTGGCGCGTTAATTACGGGTGTGAGCGGGAGAATAAGTGCCGTGTTTGTGTCTTCGAGATTACTTGCTCGGAATAGAACCCAGCGTTGGGGCTTCGTCTTTAGGACACCTCTCAACGTGATCTTTGACGTGGCCTCCAGCTCTTAAAGAAACACCCAGATCCACCCGGGCTTGAACCCATGCCCCCCCCCCCCCCCCCCCCCCAGAATTGCTGGCTCAGCGTTTCATCGTAGACATAAGCTTCCAGAGAGAAAGAGCGAGAAAAACACCCACGGCTAGGACTTTAACCCAGGTCTTTGAGACTTTACATCGATGTCTCATCGCAGGCATTAGAGAAAGAAACACACCCAGGCAGTCATCCGTTATACTTCATTGTAATAAATGAGCCACAGATAAATGTGGAACTTGTATCAACTCTCCTAGCCAGTTAATACTGCATTATTTCACCGTGTTGTAGCCGCGTTAGACAATTCACCTGTAGTCAAACCGAATATTCGCCCGGCTCATAGCTGTCACCAATATTACCCGCGGCGCACCTCCAGCTCTGCAGATTTTTCCGTGCGTTTTTTTTGCCACCCGGCCCGAACCATGCAGGAATGGCGTGCGCCGCGGTGCTGGAGCCGAGCGGGAACTTCCCGGCGTGGCTGGAGGCGCAGGGCATGAACGCGGAGGTGGCCCGGGCCATGGACTCCGAGCTGGGCATCCGGGACTACGGGGTCCTGCGCGCCTGCGTCGGGGATGGACTCGTGCGGGCCGAGCTGCTGGCCACGGCGCGCGACCGCCTGCCCTTCGGCTTCTACGCCGTGCTGCGGCAGGTGGTGAAGGCCCTGCAGGGCACCGGGCCGCCCCAGACGTCGCCCGGCGTGGTGAGGGACGTGACCCTGGAGGGGTTGATCGAGGTGCTTGCCACCTTGTTTGGTGGACTGAGCCGGGAGCTGTCGGTGTCCATGCAGAGGCTGGGCCGAATCCACGGAGTGGTCTGCGGCCCGGGGGAGGAGTACCACGCCGGGGACGAGAATGGAGAATACCCGAGTGCCGGTGAGACTTCCATCGGCAGTCGTCGGCGTCATCATCTTCATTGGGCATACAACGATGAACCCTACACCTCTCGCGCTCGTACGGTTACTCCCCGACGCTTTTGAACACGCTCGGAGGGTGTGTGCGCGTGGCACGCGTGTGTGTTGTGTAGTGGTTAGCGCGCTGCACTATCAGCCCGCGTGAGCCGAGTTTGATTCCCGCTTACGGCCAATACCAGTGACGATTTTCTCAACCGGTCGTGGGCCTCCCCTCGGTCGACTCAGCCTCTAATGAGTACCTGGTGTGGTGTGTAAACATCACACCATGCCGGCCTTCATAGGTGCTCGCTAACAAAAGAACTTTTCCCAAAAGTTGTGTGTGTGTGTGGGGGGGAGCAGCAGTGTCTGTCTAATTCGTTTGTGTCACTTCTACTTCGTCTACCGTCTGCCTGCATTATGTCTGTCTTGTCTCTCTGCTTACTCTCTCATTTGTACTCTTCCATTTGCACTTTCTCGTTTCGTTTGCCTCATCGATCAAGTTTGTCTCTCGTGTATGCGTGCAAACTCATTCGTATCCGTCATATTATTTTACCGATCAAGCAGCTTTTGTGCTCTGGAGACCGGGAGATCTGTTGACTTAATGTTCAGTCGCCGGTTCGGTGATGATGATGCCATTAGTTGTCGTGATTCCTCACTTGAACAGAGTGGGCGACGTGCGAAGGCTGCCATCCACTCCGCACATCATGTACAGGTTTCCCTCGCTTCTATGCGGTAGATGCATTCCAAAACAAAAGGGGGGCGCGGGGGGGGCAGGCAGCACAAAGCGAAACCGCAGGAGACAATGTGGCCCCACCCCTGACGGCATAGCCGCACAATGAGTAAAATTCTGAATAAGAATGTTTGTAGTCAAGAGGAATCCGATGAGCTATGAAGCTATTTTTCACAGATGTCCAGTCGGAGCACAGGGTAAGAACGTTACAACAACCAACAATGCAAAAATATTCAAAGTACAAGAAAGGTAAACATCGCCCAAACACAAACAAATAAAACAAAACCATCCCCATCCTACCAGACAAGGCCCACTGAAGGTATTAGCTTATTTTTTTCAAATGCGACCTGGCCACAAATGATAGCTCAACAAAGTGGCTTATAATTTGGACATTTACAGCAGCAACATTATCTAAATAGTCTTAACTGCGTGTTCCTAAACGTGGAGGGGAAAAAGCGGAGGGCCAGAAGTTTGGGCAGAAATAGGTTAGCCGTAAGTACAGCGCGGAATCGCACAAACAGAACCTCGGCCAAAGCGTGGGGAAATATGTGTATAACGACTCGATGCCCGATTCACAGACACGGATGTAAGGTATCATCACAGCAACAACACACCGCACCTCTACTCCTCCCGATGCAATTATCTGGCTCAACCGCCTCAGTGTAAATTAATAGTCGGTGCTCTTTATCAACATCAGCCATACAAGGAAGATTAAATTGGCGTTGGATTTCCATAAATCAAGAATGTATGTACGTATGTTGAACTTCGCTACATAGCCAACAAAAAATAATTATTGATTCTCGCACAGCTGATTCAATGTAGGTGTCGTAAGCGTGCGAATGTGTATGAATGAATCCCACTGTGCCTCATGCATTCTGCTCTCTCTGCAGGCAACGACCCATCCCAAGATCAAGATCATGGAGTGGACGGCCACTACTTGAACCAGTCCTGTAAGCACCGCACCGCTGTTCACCTCTTCATTTGAGTTACGTTTCATCAATCGCAGTGCAGCTTCCCTTGTCAGCTACGTTGTGCGCGACGAGATGTTTCGATGACAGTAGATGTGCGACGGCGTGTTGATAGAATCTTTTTTTTTTTGCCAAGCCTTGACTATCGGGCACGGAATTCGCTTGTGCAAGTAATCGATTGTTATTTTATGCTCTGGGGCATTTAAAGATGTCTGTCGGTTGGACCGCCGTGCGACGGACATTGTTGCTCCGCGCAGCAGGGCGTGTGGGTAGAGCAGCCCCACCGTTGCTGGAGGAGAGAACTGCTTTCCCAGCTCGTGTAGTCGCTCAGACGCCGTTACCACTCCTTGCCAAAACACCCGTCTTTCAGCACCGCACTTGACCGTCTTTAAGTGTCCCGAAAGATCCACTGGGTTTGATCATCCAGGAAGTTGCCCATGGTCCTCCCTAAATCACATCCGCCGCACGACACTGTGGGCAGATGCGGATACCTGATGCACGAATGGAAAATGGAAAAAAAAAAACTCTCCAGTAGCATGCGACTGTGCTCATCGAGATCTCGATCGTACAACGTGTAACGACGCAATGCCCAATCCACGATTGCGAAGGAGGCATCACGGCAATACACTCCGCTGCTGCTGCTGCTGCTGCTGACGCAGTTGTCTGGCTTGACCACATGAACGTGAAATTGTAGTCTGCATGCATTTACGTCGGCAGCCGTACGAAAGAAGGAAGTGTCCCAAAGATCATGCGAGCCACAAATCACTTATCTCGCTCATGCCAACTCTACCCCGCGGTGCTGAAGCCAACACCGGAGCGAGCCACTGAATCGGTGTTTACGTTTTTATATTTTCTATTCGCAGACGAGGATGGAGATGTCCCTTCCCTGGAAACGTCCAGCACCATCCACTCGGACCAGGGCATTAAAATTGAAAGCGTGCCAGGTATCTCCAAAAACGTTCCGCTACTTTGAATGGGGCATCACGGGACCGTGAGAGAGGTGGTGTGACGGCTTAGGAAGGCCTTCGATAGGTCGTGGCCGACGATGATGATAATGCTGCTGATGATGTGAGAGAGGAGCAGGGAAGCATACCTCGTGTTGCAGTAGGGTTGGGCGCACTGAGTCACCCGTTGACTGGCGCGCTGGCCCTGCGCGTTACGTGTGCCAGTGCGTGTGTGTGCTTGCACGTCACGTGCCCGTGCGTGTGTGTGTGTATTTGTACACGTCACATGTCCGTGCGCTAATCACACCTCCAATTAGCATGGTTAGCTATGTACGGTGCGAAAGAAGTTCATCATACATACAACATACATAGCATGTCCGTGTGGTAGCGTCGTGGTTAGCGCTCTGTGCTACGAACTCGGCGACCTAATTTCGGTTCCCGCTCACGGCCATCATCAGTGATGGATATCTCAACCGGTCATAGGCCTCCCCGAGGTCTATTCAGCCATAAATGAGTTCCTGATGCAGTGTGTAAACTATCAGCACTGGGGAGACAAAGGCAGCTGGGCGTGGTGCTACCCACCCACCCCCTCGTGTGCTGTGCCGCCCTTCATAGGGTGCTCGCTAACAGCACTTTCCCCAACAGTCTCTTAAAGGCTATACGGGGAATACCTTTGTTTTTGAGTGCGCATCATGTGACCATGTGGATGAGTTCGCACACACCACGTGTCCATGCATGTTTCCGTGCGTGTGTTTGCACGCGCGTTACACGTGTGTGTGGGTGCGTGTGCGCGCAACACCTGTGCTGCAGGTCACAGCTCCCAGCCGTTGCACAGCGGTGAGAGGTTAGGTGGCCGACCTTCATGGGATTCCTCAGGCGGTGGGGAGGCCGCTCCGTCGACAAGCTCCCACCACTTAGGCAAGGCCCCGGGTCATTTCTACCGAATGCCAGTCAGTTATTGTAATCTCGGCGAACAACGGTGTTGCTATAATTTTCCCCAGAATATGTCAAGAGATCGTCGCAGTTAACTCTGTGAACGGAGAGGCCTTCACAATGGTCAGCTGTAGCTCCCGCAACCAACCGCCTCGTCTCTCCGTTCCTCCTCTGTGCCCCCCTCCTCGCCCTCCAGGTAAAGCCACGTTCGGCGGCGATCACATGTTCGCAATCGAGGACGTCACCTCGCTTCAGAGCGACAAGGTGCGACTCGTGCTCGCGGCCAAGATACGCACCAATGCACAGCAGCAAGAGCGGCACCTGTCGCAGCAGCAGCAGCAGCAGCACCAAGGACTGGCTACCCGGCGATGCGTCGAGAACCTGCCGGAGCCCGTCTACCCGGCGCAGCTGCCGAACTCGCACGCGTGCCCCGCGGCGCCGGGCGGCGGGAACGGCGCCCTGTCTCCGGACGCCGACCCTGGGCGGCCGCACAAGTGCTGCCTGTGCGGGCGGTGCTTTGCCAAGCCGGACCAGCTGGCGGGGCACATGCGCATCCACACGGGCGAGAAGCCGCACCCGTGCGACGTGTGCGGCCGCACGTTCTCGCACTACGGCAACCTGAAGACGCACCGGCGCACGCACACGGGCGAGAAGCCGTACCGCTGCGGCGCCTGCGGCCGCGCCTTCTCGCAGTGCTCCAGCCTCAAGACGCACCAGCGCATCCACACGGGCGAGAAGCCGTACGGGTGCGACGTGTGCCCCCGCTCCTTCGCGCAGTACTCAAGCCTCAAGTACCACATGCGCATGCACACGGGCGAGAGGCCCTACGCGTGCCAGGCCTGCGGCAAGAGCTTCAGTATGTCGAGCCACTTCAACAGGCACAGGCGCATGTGCTCGATCGCGCTTGTGTAGAAAGGGGCCGGGGGCGGCGGGCCCCATCGGGCTCGTTGGGTGGGGGTGGCGAGGTCTGGGTGAGGAAACAAGGGCGGCGCGGGGGCAGCTGGACGGGATGGTGATGGACTAAGCCGAAGTTGGGGAAAGGCTTCGTTGCGTTTGCAAGCGCATTGTTTCCCCACGCCGCGCAAAAGGATCGTGACAAGGAAGCGGGGGAGGTTGCCGGGAACTCCGCTGACTGTGATTTACGAAGTGGCCAGGCTGCCACGGGGCTTGCAGGCATGACAGCAAGCGGCAAGCTGTACACACAGCTGACTAGACAATGGGTTATAATAGGGTTTTTCCCCTTTTTTCTGGCAACAAAACTGAAACCTTTTTACAAGGATTCATGTCTGCATTAACTACAATACTTGCAGTCAAAATGCAAACAAAAAACACACACTGATAATATATACATTGTCATTGAATCTGATTGGTCCACACCAGAGACAGCTTTCTTTTGAGCCTCATCTCAATTGGTGCTCGACCAGATGACGCCAAAAGGCGTACAGCTCAAAGACAATGCACTATCAAAGCAATGAGGGCTCGGGGTAAGTATCTACATCATTAGACCTCCTTTGCCAGTACCAAAATATAATAATAGGGTTTTTTCCCCTTTTTTCTGGCAACAAAACAGAAACCTTTTTACAAGGATTCATGTCTGCATTAACCACAATACTTGCAGTCAAATTGCAAACAAAAAACACACTGATAATATATACACTGTCCTTGAATCTGATTGGTCCACACCAGAGACAGCTTTCTTTTGAGCCTCGTCTCAATTGGTGCTCGACCAGATGACGCCAAAAAGCGTACAGCTCAAAGACAATGCACTATCAAAGCAATGAGGGCTCGGGGTAAGTATCTACATCATTAGACCTCCTTTGCCAGTACCAAAATAGAATAATAGGGTTTTTTCCCCTTTTTTCTGGCAACAAAACAGAAACCTTTTTACGAGGATTCATGTCTGCATTAACTACAATATTTGCAGTCAAATTGCAAAAAAAACCCACTGATAATATATACACTGTCCTTGAAACTGATTGGTCCACACCAGAGACAGCTTTCTTTTGAGCCTCGTCTCAATTGGTGCTCGACCAGATGACGCCAAAAGAAAAAAGGGGAAAAACCCTATTATATTATTATATTTTGGTACCGGCAAAGGGGGTCTAATGATATAGACGTTGGGTTGTTTGCGCTTTTATATGCACAGCAAACGAGATGGAGACCCTGAATTGCAAGACACAACAAAAGCACACCAGTTAGGCACACGGCAGGTCCAGAATGGGCTGGGCTGTGTATGTACAGCCGACCAGATTGTGAATTGCTCATGCAACAGGTGAGAGACAGAGCCTTGTTCTCTCTGTGCGTGTGCGGTGTGCTTTTTCCAAGACTTTGGCAACCATGGCCATCCATCTGCCATTAACTCTGTCCTTGATATTTACTCAAGAACTTGGCATTGGATACTCCTTCCCCGTTGCATCCAGTCGTTCAAATTGCTGAGCTGTGCTCCTGTGTGTTTCTGTTTATAATTTATTGGTGTTTTTTTTGTTGTTGTTGTAATCCTTCATCGAAATCGTCGCGGAAAGCCCTCTGTCGCAGGCGTGTGCAACACGGCGCCCTTCCTTATTCGATCTCGAGACAAATGCCCGTGGCTTCCTGTAAATAAAGTTTTTTTTTGCAAAGCGTATCTTTTGCTGCAAGTCGGTTTCTTGAAAGCTCGTAAGACCATCGTCCATTATCGACGTGACCTCTGCGCCGTCTGAGTGTCGCTGAACGCTTCCTGTTTGGTGGCCACCGCACGCTGCTGCTGCTGCTGTCCACCGGTTGATGAACTGCTGTACTGTTTAACACGTAGGCTTTCGCGATCGGTGCGTAGGAGGGCAAAGCCACAGCATTTACAATGTGAGTACGGGTACCATGGCCAGATTGTAAAATGTTGTGGCTTTATACTCTTTGGTTCTTTCGGTAAAGTCACGTAGGTAAAAATAAAATGAATCGCGACGTTTCGAACGCAACACAAGCGTTCGTCTTCAGGTGAAAATCGCGATAGCTGCGACGTCTGCTGCGACCAGACATCGTGCTGCTCGCAGCTGACATCGCAGCTATCACGATTTTCACCTGAAGACGAACGCTTGTGTTGCGTTCGAAACGTCGTGATTAATTTTATTTTATTTCTACCTACTACGTGACTTTACCGAAAGAACCAAAGAGTATGGATTCCTGCAGTCACGAAAGCTTCAAATCAAGATTGTTGTGGCTTTGCTCTCCAACACACCCGTGTGGTGTACTAGTAACGAATTGGCGTGTTCCGTTTACGTGACAAACCTTACTAATTGGCTGTGTCGGTGGTGGTGGGTTTAACGACACATAGATGCGATCTAACCCAAAAAAACCCCTGGATTATGGATACTATATTTTTTGTTTGACCAGGCAAGGCCCATTGAGTGTTTTTAGAAGTGACCCAGCCACAAATGATGGCTCAACGAAGTGGCTTATCGTCGTGTGGAGATTTATAGCAGTGGCCAGATACTCGCATGTCTAAATGTGGAGTGGGCAAAGACCAGATGGCCCGGAGAATAATCCACGAGAACACGGGGAGAACATTCAAACTCCAAATATACAGCAGCAGCAGCAGCAGGTGTCAGGGTTGGGATCCAAGCCGCGACCTCCTGCACACCGAGCGAGGCAGTTAACATCTCACACGGGTTGGGCGGTGTCTTTGCGACTCCGGGCAACTTCTCGTCATGTGCGAATAGTACCAGGAGCGTTTACATGAACACGCAGCCACCTTTGTTCCTTCAGCGGTGTTTAGTGTCACCACTTGAAATATTTGTTTTGTGTGATTTGTTTACCTTTTCCTGTACTTTGCAATCCTATCGTGGTTTTTTGTCTTCTACTTTTTAATTGTAACTTTCTGACCCGCCACCTACTGGACATCTGTGATATTTAAAAAAAGAGCTTCATAGCTCATCAGATTCCTCCAGAATAAAGACAGATTCTGATCCATCCTGAGGTCGTGTGAAACTGCCGGTGCCGAGCTGGCGAGATGTTAACTCCCTTGCCTGGTATCCATGAGGTCGTCGGTTTGATCCTGACCCTGACGTCTCTATATTTGGAGTTTGCATGTCTCTCTCTCTCCACGTGGTCGCTTGGATTTTTCTCCGGGTCCTCCGGATTTCCCCTCCACATTTAGAATCAACATCACGCGTTTAGAGTCTTCGGCGTCTGCTATAAATTTCCACACGCTCGGCCACTTCGTTGAGCTATCATTTGTGATAGCAAGTTCGCTTCTGTTAAAATAGCTATACAGTACCTCAGTGGGCCGCCTTACCAGGTCAAATAAAACATTGTTTAGTTTAACACCTGGACTTTTGCGACCAATCTAGATTTGAAGTTTTCGCGACTGCAGGGGATCCACACTCTTTGGTTCTTTCGGTAAAGTCACGTAGGTAGAAGATAAAATAAATGAAATCACGACGTTTCGATTGCAACACAAGCAGTCATCATCAGGTGGGAAAACCACAGCAAGAAAATATTTTCTTGATTTCATTTATTTCATTTTGCGACCAATTAACATTAAGGGTTTTTTGGGGGGGGGGGGGCGGGGGGGTTAGATCGTGTAACTACAAAGGTGTGAGAGAGTGCTCAACCAGTAACGAATTGGCACGTTTTGTTTACGCGACAAACCTTACTAATTGCCTATCGGGTGGTGGCGGGTTTCACGACACATTTATATTTTACACGACCTAACCCCCTAAAAAAAAAACCTCATGTTTCAACAACAACATATTTTAAAATATGTTCGTGTAGCGTTCTGATGCCCCTTGACACTGCTTACTGAGACATTACAAAAAAAAGAGCGTAATAGCTTTTCGGATTTCCTCCAATATTTAATTAAAAATAAATAAAATTCTAGTTTAACGCGTAGGCTATCATCCATAATATGGGCGGGGTTAGGGGTTTATATAAATGTGTCATTAAACCCGACACAGCCAATTAGTAAGGGGTTTGTAACGTAAACAAAACGTGGACACTTCGTTACTGGTACAGCAGCACCGGGTGTGTTTGGAGAGCAAATCCACATTTACTGGGCGAAGGTACTCGGATTGTTAATGTTGTGGATTTGCTCTGCGTAGATGGGTTCAATTTTTTTTTAAATAATAATTTGAACCTATCTTCGTGACCGTACCGAAAGACCCAAAGCTAATTTTAAAGGTCGAGATTTAACAACAACAATATTATTGTTATTATTAATTTATTGTTGCCGTTGCCGCCGAGCGCGGCGAATCTGCAGCCGCGGCGCGCGCCGCCAACTGCGGCCCTCGCCCCCGCAGACGTCACCCGGCCCGGCACGGAGGAACGCGCGGGGGGACCCGAGGCAGCGGTCGGGGGCGAGGTGGACGAGGTGAGGTAGACGAGGTGAGGTGGGTGAGGTGAGGTGGGTGAGTGGACGAGGTGAGGTGAGGTGGGTGAGGTGGGTGAGGTAGACGAGGTGAGGTGGGTGAGGTAGACGAGGTGAGGTGGGTGAGGTGAGGTAGACGAGGTGAGGTGGGGTAGACGAGGTGAGGTGGGTGAGGTGAGGTAGACGAGGTGAGGTGGGTGAGGTGAGGTGGGTGAGGTGAGGCAGACGAGGTGAGGTGGGTGAGGTGAGGTGGGTGAGGTGAGGCAGACGAGGTGAGGTGGGTGAGGTGGGTGAGGTGAGGTGGGTGAGGTGAGGTGGGTGAGGTGGACGAGGTGAGGTAGACGAGGTGAGGTGGGTGAGGTGAGGTGGGTGAGGTGGGTGAGGTGAGGTGGACGAGGTGAGGTAGACGAGGTGAGGTGGGTGAGGTGAGGTGGGTGAGGTGAGGTGAGGTGGGTGAGGTGAGGTAGGTGAGGTGGGTGAGGTGGGTGAGGTGAGGTGGGTGAGGTGGGTGAAGTGAGGTGGGTGAAGTGAGGTGGGTGAGGTGGACGAGGTGGACGAGGTGGGTGGGGTGGGCGAGGTGGGTGAGGTGAGGTGGGCGAGTTTGAGGTGAGGTGGACGAGGTGGGTGAGGTGAGGTGGGTGAGGTGGGTGAGGGTGGGTGAGGTGTGGTGGGCGAGGTGGGTGAGGTGAGGTGGGTGAGGTGAGGTGAGGTGGGCGAGTTTGAGGTGAGGTGGACGAGGTGGGTGAGGTGAGGTGGGTGAGGTGAGGTGGGTGAGGTGGGTGAGGTGAGGTGGGCGAGGTGGGTGAGGTGGGTGAGGTGAGGTGAGGTGGGCGAGGTGGGTGAGGTGAGGTGGGTGAAGTGAGGTGGGTGAGGTGGACGAGGTGGACGAGGTGGGTGGGGTGGGCGAGGTGGGTGAGGTGAGGTGGGCGAGTTTGAGGTGAGGTGGACGAGGTGGGTGAGGTGGGTGAGGGTGGGTGAGGTGTGGTGGGCGAGGTGGGTGAGGTGAGGTGGGTGAGGTGAGGTGAGGTGGGCGAGTTTGAGGTGAGGTGGACGAGGTGGGTGAGGTGAGGTGGGTGAGGTGGGTGAGGTGAGGTGGGCGAGGTGGGTGAGGTGGGTGAGGTGAGGTGAGGTGGGCGAGGTGGGTGAGGTGAGGTGGGTGAAGTGAGGTGGGTGAGGTGGACGAGGTGGACGAGGTGGGTGGGGTGGGCGAGGTGGGTGAGGTGAGGTGGGCGAGTTTGAGGTGAGGTGGACGAGGTGGGTGAGGTGAGGTGGGTGAGGTGGGTGAGGGTGGGTGAGGTGTGGTGGGCGAGGTGGGTGAGGTGAGGTGGGTGAGGTGAGGTGAGGTGGGCGAGTTTGAGGTGAGGTGGACGAGGTGGGTGAGGTGAGGTGGGTGAGGTGAGGTGGGTGAGGTGAGGTGGGCGAGGTGGGTGAGGTGGGTGAGGTGAGGTGAGGTGGGCGAGGTGGGTGAGGTGAGGTGGGTGACGTGAGGTGAGGTGGGTGAGGTGGGTGAGGTGGGTGACGTGAGGTGAGGTGGGTGAGGTGAGGTGGGTGAGGTGGTTGAGGTGAGGTGGGTGAGGTGGGTGAGGCGGGCGAGGTGGGTGAGGTGAGGGTCGCGGGTGAGCTGGGTGAGGCGGGTGAGGTGAGGTGGGTGACGTGAGGTGAGGTGGGTGAGGTGAGGGTCGCGGGTGAGGTGGGTGAAGCCCTCCCCGTGCAGCCTTTCGCTGACGTCTTGGCTGGGCGGGTGGCTCTTAACAGAGTAGCAGCACCTATTGAGGGTGACACACACACACACCACGCGCGCCCGGCCGTCTTTGTCTCTCTCCCCCCCCCCCCCCGTATAGCCTTAACAGACTGTGGTACTGGAGGGGCACCACCACGCCCGGTGGCGATGATTCCACATCGCACCATGGTACTAATTTGAGGCTGAGTCGACCTAGGGTGGGGGGGGGGGTCCCAAGACCGGTTCAGATAATCGCTATCGCCGGGTTTCTTAGCGCAGCGTGGCGCTAACCGCTGCGCCACCGCTCCCCCCTCAAACCCACCTCTTGCTAATGTTTACAAACAGCAGTGGGTAAACACATTTACGGCTGAGTCGACCTCTGTCAGTTGATTGGGGTCCGTGAGCGGGAATCGAACTCGGTTCTGCTCTTGGCCGGCTTCGGAGCGCAGTGCAGCGCCAACCACTGCGCCACCGCTCTACACACGCAGTACACAACATTTACTGATATATATAACACGCATATATACGCAGCGATTACCATTGCCATGTGTGTTTGCATAGCTGCGCCTTAACAAGTGGATCATAAACAGTGGGGCATGTACATTATGTACAGAGCCTGTGCATGTGTCTTAGTGAGTGCCCAATGAGTCTGCGAGAGACCAGGCTGACTGTCTATGTCAGAGACCTGGGTGTCTATGTGAGAGACCTGGGTGTCTTTGTGAGAGACCTGGGTGTCTATGTGAGAGACCTGGGTGTCTATGTGAGAAGCCTGGGTGTCTATGTGAGAGACCTGGGTGTCTATGTGAGAGACCTGGGTGTCTATGTGAGAGACCTGGGAGTCTATGTGAGAGACCTGGGTGTCTATGTCAGAGACCTGGGTGTCTTTGTGAGAAGCCTGGGTGTCTATGTGAGAGGCCTGGGTGTCTATGTGAGAGACCTGGGTGTCTATGTGAGAGACCTGGGTGTCTTTGTGAGAGACCTGGGTGTCTTTGTGAGAAGCCTGGGTGTCTATGTGAGAAGCGTGGGTGTCTATGTGAGAGACCTGGGTGTCTATGTGAGATGCCTGGGTGTCTATGTGTGAGACCTGGGTGTCTATGTGAGAGACCTGGGTGTCTTTGTGAGATCCCTGGGTGTCTATGTGAGAGACCTGGGTGTCTATGTGAGAGACCTGGGTGTCTATGTGAGAGACCTGGGTGTCTATGTGAGACCTGGGTGTCTATGTGAGAAGCCTGGGTGTCTATGTGAGAAACCTGGGTGTCTATGTGAGAGACCTGGGTGTCTATGTGAGAGACCTGGGTGTCTATGTGAGATCCCTGGGTGTCTTTGTGAGAAGCCTGGGTGTCTATGTGAGATCCCGGGGTGTCTATGTGAGAGACCTGGGTGTCTATGTGAGAAGCCTGGGTATCTATGTGAGAGACCTGGGTGTCTATGTGAGAAGCCTGGGTGTCTATGTGGGAAGCCTGGGTGTCTATGTGGGAAGCCTGGGTGTCTATGTGAGGGAAAAAAGTATTTGATCCCCTGCTGATTTTGTACGTTTGCCCACTGACAAAGAAATTATAAGTCTAAAATTCAAATCAATTTATAACATTTTCAACATGCGTTTTTCTTGATTTTTTTGTTTTGATTCTGTCTCTCACTGTTCAAATAAACCTACCATTAAAATTATAGGCTGATCATTTCTTTGTCCGTGCGCAAACGTACAAAATCAGGGGATCAAATACTTTCTTCCCTCACTGTAGGTGTCTATGTAAGTGCCATCTAAGTCTATGAAAATACATTATCTGGCGATGCTGCTGCGTCATTGGTCGTGCACACGCACACCAAAATACATCTCAACACCGTCGATAACACTGCGGGCTTGAGGTAGAAGAGTTATATAGGTGACGTTTCGGCAATTGGGCCTTTTTCACAGCACAAATAGGCCAGAGAGATAGAGCGGACAGGAGTTGGAGATTGCACTTCAAATGGGATATATGTCTCTCCATGTGAGTGGAAAGGTAATGTAAGGACACCTTACAATAATTAATTAATAAATGCACGTTTAACAAAAATGCACGATTGCTGGGCAAGCGGGTCATCCTCAGCGCAAATTGTGGTCGGTGGTTGATTGAGCCCATCATTCTTCAGACAGCAATAAACGAAGGAGCAATTTTGTGGGAAAGTCCAAAGCGTTTCCTACAACACCTTTGGACACCCTGGTCTGCCGTACACGTGTAGATGGGTGGAAATGTGTTTCTTCGCTTGAGACTCTCCCCTGGGTTCAGTAGAGACACTCTTAGGGTGTCTCATGGCTGCTAACCTTTATGATCCTACTGCCTTTTATTCGTCGTGAGTTCAACCCAAAATGTATTTTTCCTAAATCTTAACATGGTATTCCAAAAGTGTCTAGGTGCGCCACGGTGGCGAGATGTTAAATACCTCGCCTGGTATACAGGAGGTCGTGGGTGTTCGATCCTGACCCTGACTCCTATCTATTTGGAGTTTGCATGTTCTCCTCGTGGTCGCGTGGATTTGTCTCCGTGTCTTCCAACTTTTTTCCTCCACATTTAGAATCAGAATACATTTTAGAGTATTTAGCTGCTATAAATTTCCACGTGATCAGCCAATTCGTTGAATTATCATTTGTGACCCGGCCACTTCTGAAAAAGAGCTCTATAGCTCAGTGGACCTTACCTGGTAAATAAAAAAATAGTTTCCACACTGAAATACGAAATGAACGATTCATATTAAATTTTTGGGTCAGATCGCATAAGCAAAATGTGCATCGTAAACCCTCATGCACGTATGTTGAACATATTTCGCACTGTACTGTTCACACATCTGCAATTAATGCAGATGTGTGAACAAACGGTGCCATTAGCAATCTACAACATTTACTAACAAACAAGTGACAACTTTATTAATTGGTTTTGTAGGGTGGAGGAGGGTTTACGACACATTTTACTGACGCGGTGATCTGACCCCAAAATCTATTATAAATCGTAATATTAGTCGCGAAAGCCTGCCCGTGTTAAATTTAATTAGTGTTGCCTTTCTCATTTGCGTTTGTGTTGAACTCTGTGCGTGCAGGCATGCAAAACCACAGCACGATATTTGATTAAAAAAAAACCCCAAACCTTCACCCTTCTTCCACTCTCACGAATCCCACAGTGCGAGATGGAGAGTGAACCCACGATGGAGCTGCCACAGCAGGAGAACTTCCCGGCGTGGCTGGAGGCGCATGGCGTGAACGCGGAGGTGGCCCGGGCCATGGACTCGGAGCTGGGCATCCGGGACCACGGGGTCCTGCGCGCCTGCGTCGGCGACGCGTGCCTGCGTGCCGAGCTGCTGGCCACGGCGCGCGACCGCCTGCCCTTCGGCTTCTACGCCGTGCTGCGGCAGGTGGTGAAGGCCCTGCGGGGCGACGACCGCCACGACGCCGGGACGCCGCTGTCCGGCACGCTTCGCGACGTGACGCTGGCGGGGCTCGTCGAGGTGCTGCTTGCGCTGCTCACGGGCCTGAGCCGCGAGCTGGCGCTCTCCGTGCAGAAGCTGGAGGCGGTGAGCGGTGGCGCCTTTGTCGGAAGGTTCCTCACGAAGGACGAGGACTACCAGACAGAGAGGGACGACGAGGATTCGCACCACGGTGAGGTTTTAGTGGCGCGTGAGAGAATCAACGGTGGCCGTCGGATCTTAGTCGGAATCGGAATATTTGCTTATACCGAAGGAATCCGATGAGCTATGAAGTCATTTTTTTGACAGATGTCCAGTAGGGGCACGGGGGTCACAACGGTTTGTTCGTATCTTTGAAAGTTAGTAAGTCGAATGTTTTTAAGTAGAGTAGTCCCTGTCACTTGCCGCTGATGCTAGCCGTGATCGAGCATCGGACCACTCGCACATATCCACAATCAAGTTCAAACTGCACACGGCGCACAATTATCACGGTTTTGCGCCATGTTTCTCATGTCCCCGTGTTTAATACGAATGGTAATGTAGGACATTTGGTGTTCACGCCATTGCAGTGGTGCGAGATTATCACGAAGGAAGTCGCTGTGTTTCACAGGCGGGTATAGTCTGCCCCGTAGCGGGGGGATGCTCATACCCTCCCTCGCCTTATCATCGTCCAGGCAATGCCGGCGACTTCTCCAATGACGATGCTGAGAGTCCAGTCCCCGAAGATGAGGAAGAGTGCGAGTGGCGGCAGCACAGTGACAACAGTCCAGGTGAGAACCCAGCCCAGGTGCTAGCCCAGGTGAGAACCCAGCTCAGGTGAGAGCCCAGCCCAGGTGCTAGCCCAGGTGAGAACCCAGCTCAGGTGAGAGCCCAGCCTAGGTGCTAGCCCAGGTGAGAACCCACCTCAGGTGAGAGCCCAGCCCAGGTGGGAGCCTAGGTGAGAACCCAGCTCAGGTGAGATCCCAGCCCAGGTGAGAGCCCAGTCCAGGTGAGAACCCAGCCTAGGTGACAACCCAGCCCAGGTGAGAGCCCAGTCTAGTTGAGAAACCCACCCAGGTGAGAACTGAGCCCAGGTAAATTAAGTATCACGGAGCTAGCAGAACTGATCGTCTGAAATTAAATCGCGACCACGAATGGTTACACACGGTGACCTCTAACCCGAGGTGACCTCCGCCCCCTCCGCTCCTCCTCGCTTACCAGGGAAGAGCCTGGAGACCCTGTCTGGCTTCGTGCTGCCGGACGGCAGCACCCTGGAGTGCGCGCGCCAGTACTACGCCGCCTCCTCCGCCGCCGCTGCCGTCACCGCCGCCGCCGCCGCCAAGGAGCGCAGCGCCGCCTACGGAGCCGCCCTGCAGCTGCAGCAGCTGCACCAGCAGCAGCTGCAGCAGCAGCAGCAGCTGCAGCAACCGCATCAACACCCGCAGCAGAGTCAGCAGCAGCACAGCGTGGACGAGATGATCGCGGCCGCCGTTGCCGCCACCGCCGCCGCCGATCCCCGCCACCTCCACCACCAACAGCAGCAGCAGCAGCAGCAGGCGGCGGAGGAGGCGGCGGCGGCCGCCGCTGTGGCGTCGATCAGCAGCAAAGGGCGGCCGCGCACGAACCGCCCCGACGCGCTGGCGCCCGGCCGGCAGCAGTATGAGTGCCGGCAGTGCGGGCGCGAGTTCGTGCGCTCGGACGCGCTCAAAGCGCACATGCGCATCCACACGGGCGAGAAGCCGTACCGCTGCGGTGCCTGCGGCCGTGCCTTCTCGCAGAGCTCGGGCCTCAAGACGCATCAGCGGGTGCACACGGGCGAGAAGCCGTACCGCTGCGGCGTGTGCGGGCGCGTGTTCGCACAGTGCTCGGGCCTCAAGTACCACATGCGCACGCACACGGGGGAGAAGCCCTACGTGTGCCAGGGCTGCGGCAAGAGCTTCGGCATATCGAGCCACTGCAACAGGCACCGCAAGATGTGCCCGCTCGCCAACGCGAGGCCGGTTCATGACGAGCGATGACGGGTCCGTCTCCCGATGGGTCTCTTTACGTGCGGTGATCCTTGGGAGTCGCTCCTGAATTCGACCTCGCAGAGTCGGGTTAGCCGGCAGTGCAGCGTGACGCTGAGACTAATTTCCCGCCCCCGCCCCGTTTTTCCACTGACACATCCGAGCCGAGCCAGCGCCGGGTAACTCGCGGCACGGGGTGGTTTTCCCAACTGGCCATTTTCCTTGTCGAGTTGGAACCAAACCGTGCTACGTTGGCCTCGCAAGAAGTCTGTTTCTGGCTCGAGGGCCAGGCCAGGCCGGGGCGGAAGGAAGGAAGAACACGTTCACAAATTGCATGTGATTCATACAACAATCGCTGTGGACTGTATTCCACTCGCGAGTGTTGCAGCCCCACGAGCCGGTGCTCGTTTTACTGACCCCGAAGGGACGATCATGATGATGACGACGAAGATGATGATGACGTTGGTGACGACGATTGAGGGTGCCGCATGATCTCAACTCGTAACCTTGAGGTCTTGAGACTGCTGCTCCGTACAAATGGAACCGTGTCAATGTATGCATCCTGTACGTGTACATGCTGAACGAAACTTTATTTTATAAGGTCAGGCCCACTGAGCCATATGGCTATTTTCCAGAATCGACTTGGCCACAACTGATAGCTCAACGAAGTGGCTTAACACGTGGTAAATTTATAGCAGCCAATTACTCCTAACGCATGTTAATTCTAAATGTGGAGGGAAAACCATATCCACGCAACCACGGGAATAACATGCAAACTCCAAATATACAGGCGTCGGGGCCGGGATCGAACTCATGACCTATTTACCAGGCGAGGCAGATAACATTTCGCCACCGGCACATACAGTCAGTCATATGCATTCATGTAGCTATGGCCAGCCAAAAGCCGCAACGAATATGACTGGAGTTGCCGTGATGGTTCATGCTCCGTTGACGAGATCGGCAAGGTAGTTACCATCTCGCAAAGCGATCAGATCGGAGGCGAGTATGAACGTGGGTAATTTTCTACTCTTTCAAGAGGTGGTGTATTTATTTAACTGAGTGGGGTGGGGGGGGGGAGACCTTAGGTCCCTGTTGGGAGTCAGGACGTGGAGACGACTTCTCTTTTTAAAGCGTCCCGCGTAATCGGTCACAATTTTAAGCCGACTGCTCAACGGAATCGTTGAATCGTCTCGGTTGTACATTGTTTTGTTGTTGTTGACGGTTTAGCGGTAACAAGGTGGGGAGTCTCGGCCATTGACAAGTGGCCACTAATTTATATGGCTACGCCCTGCTGATGACTCCCGCGAAATAACAAACAGAAATGGGTTCATCGTTGATTATAGCATGAAGGTACCCAATGGTTTTGGTTTATGAAGGCAATGCTCGCTTATGAGTGTCACTGAAATTGAACAGATTCAAGGGCATCTGTGATAGTGCAGCCGGTGGCATTCGTTTGTGTTCAAACCTTGCTGATGGACTCAGTTATGGTAACATCACGATTCACGTTTTTGGCAGTTGCTGCGTTTTATGTGTGTAACAACAACAACAAAAACATCATACCGATGTATTCGTAACTAAAATCGGGGTAAATTGCCAAGGCCATTTCGTTCAAGATATGAATCTGGCTCTTTAACAACTCGCATCCTCGTATTTTTTTATGTCAATGTTGGAAGTAAAACTTTCTAAATGAGAAGCGTTTAGTAATAGGGTTTAACCCTTTTATCTGGCACCAAAACTGATGCCTTGATACAAGGGATCATGTTTGCAATAACCACAACACAAGTTGTCAAAATGCAAACAAAAAGAGACAACTCTGATAATGATATTGGCACTGTCCTTGAAATTGATTGGTCCACACCCGAGACCGCTTTTTCTTAGAGCCCTTAGTCTCCACTGGTGTTGGACCACATGACGCCAAATAAAAGGGTAAAAACCTATTACTATATCTTGCTACTGTCAAAGGAGGTCTCATAATGAGAAGCGTTTGTTTTCAGAAGAATGGTCGGATTACGTGGCTGTGTCGCTGGTATGGTTAAACGTTCCCCTTAGCCTCGTGTGTTTAAAAGTCGCGTGTCTTTTTTGCAAAATAAAAATGGTTTACTATTGCTTGGGCAACACGACGTGAATTGCAAAGACGTGATGTTTACATGGGCGCAACTCATGAACAACCGACATCGACTAAAACTTGATCTTCATTGTCAGGCGCTCCTTTGATTTGTCACTAATGTCACCCGTGTATGTGTCGATGCTATTTAAACAAAAAAAGCGCGTTTACGTAAGATTTGTCGGGTCATTATTATTAGCGTACATTACGCGGCCGAATGGAAATGAAGGTTCTGTGTTTGGTGAGACGAGGGTTCAATATTGGATGAGATGACGGCCCCGTATGCTTTGTCTCGAGTGTTCTACAATGCATGTGATGAATTCTGCGTCAGGTGGCAGGGTTTTCATGCATTGGAGGAGTGGTTCATTTTCAGACGTTACAAGGGCTCTGTATCGGAAGAGACGGGGTCATGGGTTCTGCATCACATGACGTAAGGGATCAGGGGCGGAGCCAGGATTTTGACTTGGGGGGGCTGACTTCAATATTCTGAGATATCTAGTGTTTATGTTTTCCAATGGGCGCCACAAATGTATCAAACAAATTTCATTGGATTTGAACGCGGAGTTTATTAATAGGTCGGAGCCACTGATGTGGCTGATAAGTTCGATAAGTTCGAAAGGCTGCCGCTCAAGCAGCCTGCAGGGTAACACACAAGGTGGTAGCCTGCAGGGCAGTGCACAAGGTGGCAGCCTGCAGGGCAGTGCACAAGGTGGTAGCCTGCAGGGCAGCACACAAGGTGGCAGCACAAGGTGGCAGCCTGCAGGGCAGTGCACAAGGTGGCAGCCTGCAGGGCAGTACACAAGGTGGCAGCCTGCAGGGCAGCACGAGGTGGCAGCCTGCAGGGCAGTACACGAGGTGGCAGCCTGCAGGGCAGCACACAAGGTGGCAGCCTGCAGGGCAGCACACAAGGTGGCAGCCTGCAGGGCAGCACGAGGTGGCAACCTGCAGGGCAGCACGAGGTGGCAGCCTGCAGCATTTTGCAGCAGCCGGATATCCGGTTATCCCGATTACCGACTTTCCCAAAATTTCAGGGGGGGCTAAGCCCCCCCCCCCAGCCCCCCCCCCCCCCCCGTGGCTCTCGCCCCTGTGAGGGATCCATCTAAAATGTAAGAGTTTTCTACAGGGTGATCCATTAATAGATCATGGATTTCTAATGACCCCCTTACCAATTTTCCAATGCAATTGATTATTGCGAAAACAATGGCTCCACATCTTGGTTAAACGTATTGAATAGGTGTATCGAGATTGGTGGAAGGCACATCGAGCCTACTGAAAAAAAAAACTCGTTGGCTTGTAGCTGCATCTGCGACATTACATTGTAGCTGCTTGCAGCACCGATTTTAGTCTATGCTTTCGTTGCCTTAATTCAACAGGGGAGTTCACGGTTGAAGCACTTGCGGAATTGTGATTCTTTTTGCTTAAGTCGCTGTTATTTTTTGAGAGCCATCGGTTTTGTGTTTTCGAGGCCTTATTTAATTGGCGCTGGCTTTTTTTTGTATGTATCTTGAACTTCCTTCGCGGGAAGGTGCACAAATGTAACATATCGCGGTGGCGAGATGTTTACTCCCTCGCCAGGTATACAGGGCGCTGTGGGTTCGACCCCGACCCTCCTGACGCCTGTATATTTGGAGTTTGCACGTCTCTCTCTCTCTCCCCGTGGCTGCGTGGATTTGTCTCCGGGTCCTCCGGTTTTTCCATCCACGTGTAGAAACACGCGTTTAAGAGTATTTGGCTGCTCCAAATTTCCACGTGGTAAGCCCACTTCGTTTAGCGGTAATTAAAAAAAAGGTGTTAATCACCCGCGATTTTCTACAAAAGAAGGCCGAACCCGTAGGGCAGCTGCCGATGCACTGCAATAATTGTGGCTGGGTGTATATATTTGCAAGAGGTGAACGATGACAACAAGAATACACGTGAGAATCGATTGCACGGCTGTGAGACATTCAGAATTGTGAAGCGATTCCCTCGAGACTTTACGCGTGTACGGACGGGGGTTAGTTGGGTTGGCGTTTTGGAGTCGCGCCCGCGGAAGCCTGCGTCACGATTAAGAATCTTTATTTGAACTGCAGGAATCCGATGAGCCATGAAGCTCTTTTCCCCACCGATCTCCAGTTGGGGCGGGTAAGCGGTTTAAAATCTCGTTACTCATGAACCGACCGCCGACGTCTCTGTGAGAGCCATGTGAGAATCGATGTTCTTTCCGTAAATTATCTTTATTATTTTATTGGGGTGAAAATAATTGGATCGCCCTGTATATCGGACGAGGGCTCTTGTGACAGATGTTCCCAGGGTTCTGTATCCAGTGTTACAAGGGGTCATCGGATGTCGTAGAGGTTCTGTATTGTGTGTACGCTGAACTTCTTTCGCGCCGTACGTAGCCAATCGTGCTGATCGGTGGTGCGGGGGAAAGGACGAAACGCTAAAACACAAAGTGTTGACTCAAACGAGGGTTATTTTGTCAGGTCGACGTTGTGTTTCGTTTCGGGTCGAACTTCAGACTGACAGCTGTATTGATGGATTGCATGCTGTGACCCAGCGATGTGCGTGTGTGTGTGTGGTCAACCATTCACCTGCATTGTGAAGTCTGCTGTTCAGATGTGAAGGGCAATACTAAATAAACATGACGACGACGACGGTGGTGATGATGATGATGTTGGTTGTGGTTGTGTTGGCGAGATATATTTCTTAAAATCCACGCTTCAAAGGGGCCGTCCATAAATGACGTCACGCGGTTTTTGACGATTTTTTACCCCCCCCCCCCCATCGTCACACGGCGTCACAAAAAGTCAGACCCCCCTCTCAAATATGACGTCACAAAGCTCCCCCCCCCCAAAAAAATAATAATATATAAAACATTCTTCAAGTCGCTTTAAACTATTGTCATTGTCGTGCGTATTTAATGCACTCTGATGTAGGAAAAAAACATTAAAAAGTCTATTTAAGTAGAACGTGTTGTCTATGTTTATTTAAAGTTGCGCATTTTGACGTGACGTCACATTTCTCAACACCCCTCCCTCCCTCGTCACACATCGTCACAAATGTCTGACCCCTCCCCCCCCTAGGTGCGTGACGTCATTTATCGACGGCCCCCAAAGGCAAAAAAAACCCACCGTGGTCCAAAGTGCGGGGCTGACGGTGCAAAATCGCCGCGGTCCCCCGCGCCTGCCGGAAGGACGAATCGGCGGCCGGGGCAACGCGGAGCTGCGACCGCGACGCGTGGGGCTCAACACGCGACGACGAGGAGGAGTTGACGAGGAGGTGACGCGGGCGACGAGGAGTTGACGAGGAGTTGACGAGGAGGTGACGCGGGTGACGCGGAGGTGACGAGGAAGTGTCGCGGAGGTGACGAGGAGTTGACGAGGAGGTGACGCGGGCGACGAGGAGTTGACGAGGAGCTGACGAGAAGGTGACGAGGAGCTGACGCGGAGGTGACGAGGGGTTGACGAGGGGGTGACGCGGAGGTGACGAGGAGTTGACGAGGAAGTGACGCGGAGGTGACGAGGGGTTGACGAGGAGGTGACGAGGAGCTGACGAGAAGGTGACGAGGAGGTGACGAGGAGCTGACGCGGAGGTGACGAGGGGTTGACGAGGGGGTGACGCGGAGGTGACGAGGGGTTGACAAGGGGGTGACGCGGAGGTGACGAGGAGTTGACGAGGTGACGAGAAGGTGACGAGGAGTTGACGAGGTGACGCGGAGGTAACGAGGAGGTGACGAGGAGGAGTTGACGAGAAGGTGACGCGGGAGACGAGGAGGTGACGAGTTGACGAGGTGACGAGGAGGTGACGCGGAGCTGACGAGAAGGTGACGAGGAGGTGACGAGGTGACGAGGTGACGCGGGCGACGAGGAGGTGACGAGGAGGTGACGCGGAGCTGACGAGGAGGTGACGGAGGCGACGAGGTGACGAGGAGTTGACGAGGAGGTGACGAGAAGGCGACGAGGAGTTGACGAGGTGACGCGGAGGTGACGCGGGCGACGAGGAGGTGACGAGGAGGTGACGAGGTTAATGAGGTGAACGGGGGGAGTAACTTAGGGCGTCGGGTGAGTAACGAGTTTTGACGGGGAGCAACGGGCGCAACGAAGTTAACGGAGAGTAACTCGGTTAACGAGGGTGACAAGGTTAACGAGGGTTAACGAGGTTAACGAGGGTTAACGAGGGTGACCAGGTTAACGAGGGTTAACGAGGGTGACCAGGTTAACGAGGGTGACCAGGTTAACGAGGGTGACCAGGTTAACGAGGGTTAACGAGGGTGGCAAGGTTAACGAGGGTTAACGAGGTTAACGAGGGTTAACGAGGGTGACCAGGTTAACGAGGGTGACCAGGTTAACGAGGGTTAACGAGGGTGACCAGGTTAACGAGGGTTAACGAGGGTGACAAGGTTAACGAGGGTGACCAGGTTAACGAGGGTTAACGAGGGTGACCAGGTTAACGAGGGTGACCAGGTTAACGAGGGTTAACGAGGGTGACCAGGTTAACGAGGGTTAACGAGGGTGACAAGGTTAACGAGGGTGACAAGGTTAACGAGGGTTAACGAGGGTGACCAGGTTAACGAGGGTTAACGAGGGTGACAAGGTTAACGAGGGTTAACGAGGGTTGACGGGTAGTAACGAGGGGTTAACGCAGGGTTATCAGACAACACGGGTAACGCCCGCTAGAGGGATTGCCCCATTCCCCCATGGTAACCGAGGTAACTCAACTCTCTGAGGTTAACTTGAGTAGCACCGGGGTTATCCCATTGATCTGGTGGCCTTGATTATCTACAACTTGGGTCTCGGGCAATCCAACCTCCAGTCAATCCCAAAGTGAACTCCAGTCTCTGTGCCGCCTGGGTTACGGTGGCTAGGAGATGTTAACTACCTCGCCTGGTATACAGCAGGTCGTGGGTTCAATCCCGACCCTCACGCCTGCTGTATATTTGGAGTTTGCGTCTCTCTCATCATCATCACGGTGGCTAGGAGATGTTAACTACCTCGCCTGGTATGCAGGAGGTCGTGGGTTCCATCCCGACCCTGACGCCTGCTGTATATTTGGAGTTTGTGTGTCTCTCATCATCATCATCATGGTGGCTAGGAGATGTTAACTACCTCGCCTGTTATGCAGGAGGTCGTGGGTTCCATCCCGACCCTGACTCCTGTTGTATATTTGGAGTTTGTGTGTCTCTCATCACGGTGGCTAGGAGATGTTAACTACCTCGCCGGGTATGCAGGAGGTCGTGGGTTCCATCCCGACCCTGACTCCTGCAGTTTATTCGAAGTTTGTGTGTCTCTCATCATCATCACGGTGGCTAGGAGATGTTAACTACCTCGCCTGGAATGCAGGAGGTCGTGGGTTCCATCCCGTCCCTGACGCCTGCTGGATTTTTCCTCTTCCACATTTCGAAACACGTTTAGATGATTTGACTACTGCTATCAATTTGAACATCATAAGCCACTTCGTTGAGCTGTCATTTGTGGCCAGGTCGCTTCTGAAAAAGAGCTCTCTTGCCCAGTGGGTCTTACCTGGCAACATAAACAGGTTTATCTGTTGTCTCCGTGTAATGCTGCCATCCAATCACCCTCGGGATCAGCAACTCTCATAGACCCCCCCCCCCCGCCATGGCCAGAGGTGGCAGAACGAAATCGTTTTAGCAGGCAAGCCCGGTGGAAGTGGACAGGGTGGGTGGTGGTGGTGGTGGCAGCAATGCCCCCCCAACAGTCTGTTTAGGCCAGGGGTGGGGAACCTTTTTTCTGCCAAGGGCCATTTGGATATTTATAACATCATTCTCGGGCCATTACAACATTTTCAAGTTCAAAATTTGCCCGTTATATTTGGTCAAACATTTAATTAACTCGCCCCTAATGCGATGGCTGGAACTGCTTCTCTTTGGCGAGGCGTGTGATCATGTTAGCTGGTATTGATGATGTTAGCCGGTATTGATGTTAGCCGGTATTGATGATGTTAGCCGGTATTGATGATGTTAGCTGGTATTGATGATGCTAGCCGGTATTGATGTTAGCCGGTATTGATGATGTTAGCCGGTATTGATGATGTTAGCTGGTATTGATGATGTTAGCCGGTATTGACGATGTCGCTACTCGCAACTGCTTTCCCAGGTTTGCTCTCCTAGATTTGTTGAATTTCGTGTCCCGCCTGCGGTTGCCTTGGCAGGGCCACACCAAATGATTTCGCGGGCCTTGTCCGGCCCATGGGCCGCACGTTCCCCACCCCTGGTTTAGGCGATACGGGCGATCTTTGTCTTTGTAGCAGACCAGGGTATGGGACAGGGATAGTCAGTTGCCTAAAAATATCAACACAGCGGGCACTGAGATAAAAATGTTTTATTTAACCAGCTAAGGCCCCCACTGAGCTGTATACCTCTTTTTTTCAGAAGCCACCTGGCCACACGTGATAGGTCAACGAAGTGGCTTATCACGTGGAAATTTATAACAGTACCCAAATGCTCTAAACGCGTGATGTTGATTCTAAATGTGGAAGGGGCGGGGGGGAAACCGGAGGACCCGGTGAAAAATCCACGCGACCACGGGGGGGAGAGAGAAGACGCAAACTGCAAATGTACAGCAGGCGTCGTCTGGATCGGGATCGAACTCACGACGTTGTTTATACCGGGCGCGATAGTTCACATCTCGCCACCGCGGTGCCCCAACTTTAGAGGAGGAGAGGTGGCCCGGGCGTAGCTTAGAGGTCAGAGGTCAGAGTTGGCACTGCCGTGAGGTTTCTCCCACATTTGGCTTAGCGCTACATTCAATTCCACACCTCGACAGACGACGGTGTATCCGACACACACACAAGACAAACACCAGGGTGTGTATACGCATACGCGGGGAGCGGTAGTGTCACGGTGGCGAGATATTAACTATCTTGCTTTGTATGCAGGAGGTCATAGGTTCTATCCACGACCCTGACGCCTGTATATTTGGAGTTTGCATTTTCTCCCCGTGGTCGCGTGTATTTTCTTCTCTGGGTCCTCCAGTTTTTCCCTCTACTTTGAGAAACAGGCGTTTAAGAGTATGTTCCTATATATTTCCACATAATAAGCCACTTCACTGAGCTATCATTTGTGGCCAGGTCACTTCTGAAAAAGAGTTATAGAGCTCAGTGGGCCTTACCTGCTAAAATAAAAAAAAGTTTAGTTTAATAGTTTAGTTCGCGCCAGTCGAGTTCGATTCCAGCTCACGGCCACCAACACCACTGACGATTATCTGAACCGGTTCTGAGCCTCTCCGAGGTCGACTCAGTTTTTAAATGAGTACTTGGTGCGGTGTGTAAACATCTCCACCTTGGGAAGAGGAAAGGCAGTCAGGCGTGGTGCTGGTCACCAACCCCCACGTGTGGGTAAAGGGCCTATTTCTTGTTCACTTGCGAGACGGATTGAACCTTATTGGGTGGCTTGGTGTCTTGGCAGAGCAAGCTCGCAGACTTCTGCACACAAGGGGCTCGGATTCTCCTTGGCGTTCCCCGAGCTGCCGTTTGGCTGTCAGTTTATATATTTTTTTCCCCCGAAATGAGGCTCAAAAACATCATTCCGCTTTGGAAATATGGCTCCACGACTCAGGCGAAATAGGCGGAATTGCTTTCGCCGCAAAAAATGCCGGAGTTCTATAACAAGTGCTGATGTGAACTCTTCCAAGAATCCAGTTCTGTACGTTGCTTTATGCTTCAGTGCAGTTGCCACATTGTCCCACCGTGAATTTAAAGCCTCTTTTTTCCCTCTTCTCATTAACGAAGCTTCAAATTCCCATCGAGGCAGCATCCCTAGATGTTTTATCTACCGACAGAGGTGGTTGCTGGCGAAAGTTGTCGAGACATTATTTTGAAAACTTTCATAGCCCTGCTGCCTTTAGCAAAAATAGAACACACAGCAACTGGTGAATAAAAAAAAGGCTAATTGCAAAACAAAGAACTTACAAATGAAAAAGATGAACGGCTATCGTTTTTGCGGTTGAATCTTTGAGTTGTTTCCACCAGCTGCAGTGTAAGCAAGCAATTGTAGCGCTTGCAGTTTACCTTGACTTGAACTTCTGTCGCACCGCATTTATCCAATTGTGCTAATCAGAGGTGTGTGAGGACAAACTGAACGCAAAAAGCAGCTCACCTTGAAGTGAAATAACCCTGAGAAGCCTGAAATTAAGTAATTCAATCTCCCGTGGTCCCATCATCCAGTCGACAACGATGGCGTGTGCGGTGTCCGCTGTCCCTCCTGCCACCGCTCACCCTGCTCTGGAGCCGAGCGGAGACTTCCCGGCGTGGCTGGAGGCGCAGGGCGTGAATGCGGAGGTGGCCCGGGCCATGGATTCGGAGCTGGGCATCCGGGACTACGGGGTCCTGCGCGCCTGCGTCGGGGACGGCCTCGTGCGGGCCGAGCTGCTGGCCACGGCGCGCGACCGCCTGCCCTTCGGCTTCTACGCCGTGCTGCGGCAGGTGGTGAAGGCCCTGCGGGGTGCCGAGCCCAACGATGGTGCCGGGACACCGCGCTGGGACGACGCCGCCGCCAGCAATGCATCCTCCTCTCCTGGCGACATGACGCGGGAAGGCCTGGTGGACGTGCTGCTCGCGCTGTTAAGTGGCTTGAGCCGGGAGCTGCTGCTGTTCGTGCGGAGGTTGGGAACTGTGGAAGGAGTGGGATACGTGGAGGATTTTGTGACGGATGATGGGGGTCACCATCCGGCCGAAGAGGATCAGCACAACAGCCACTGTGAGTTTTTATTTTAATTTAGAGGGGAGGTGTGGCCAGGTTAGCTCAAAGATGGAAGCGCTGAGACGGTGGCACTGCTGAGATTTGGCATTGGAATCCAAGATTTAGCCACCTGTGATTAAATCAGAGTCCTCAAGTGTAGTGAGTTAATGGTTCTCAGTGTGGTCAAGTTTACGGTTATTTGTTTAACCAGGTGAACCTTCAAGAGTCGAGGATAGTCTAATTTGCACACAGGCTGCACACAAAAACCCATGTCATTACATTTGGTTCTGTCTTTTACTTGGCAACATTCGAGCTCTGATATTTAAATATGGGCTGGACCATCATATGGCAAATATTACTCTCATATGGTAGAGCAGGTGAGAAAGTGCTGCCAACTAGTGTGTGACCCAGAGTTCACTTCAAGGGACCTCAGAGGTAGCTTTGTGATATCCACTTCCTCGGGGCATTCTTACAATTGCTCTGCAACAGAACTGAATGGATTCTTCCATCTCATGATAATGCCAATACGACAATCAGGATAACACTGGCATTGCATTACAACAAATTACACACAAAGTGCTTGCCACAAATCAATCGCAATAACTTGCTGATCTTGTCAAGGAGCATAAATCATCACACGAACTCCGGCCATCCTCGCAGTGGCTTTTAGCTAGCCAGTGAAAGAGACCGTCATCGCATCGCCCGCTTTAAGATGCGCTTCCGCGACCGTCTGGAATGCTCTTCCTACGGATATTAGGAAGCATCTGCAGCTGTGCACTTTAAAATCTAGACTGAAAACGAATTTCTTTAGAACTGCTTTTTATGTTTAGTTTATTTCCCTACCCCTGCACCTCCAATTAGCACGGTTGGCTACGTACGGTGCCAAAGAAGTCCAACATTCATACAAATACATTTTGCAGGTTCTGGGTCGCTACATCTCAAATACATTCCTGGAGTCAAAAGCCAGACGTCATGACGTGCTATTGTGACCCAGCAGAACTTTAGCGGCATGCTCGTTGGACCTTAAGAGATCATTGCTGGATGTGAGCTTCCCAACAAGATGAACACGATGTGGCAGTACAGACAGTAGATCGAACCCACGGCCTCCTGTATACCAGGCGAGGTAGTTAACCATCCCAGGCAAACTGCTAACGAAATTGGCCCCAAACATCCCGCAGGAAGAAAAAAAATGTGACTGGTACTTCATTCACCATGGGGTTGATTCAAGCACTGACTTTAATGTTGAACTCGACTACTTTAAGATTCGTTTTGTGTTGGCTGTTATAATGACGATGTTGTCAGCGTATCCGAGATGGCCGAGACTTTATTCACGTTCACGCCTTTATGTCCGCGAACCAGGTCTCAGGAATTATATTCAAATGTGGCTGTGAGTAGCCTCGGTCAGAGCGTATCTCCCTGTCTAACTCCTTTTCAGATTTGTATTTTGCCACCCTCTTTGTAGGGACCAAAGATAGCAGATCCCCCTTTGTAAATGTTTACGTTGATGTCTGTATATATTTTTGTTCAATTAAGACCATAGTTTGTGAGCGCTTGGATGACCACTTCAATTTCCACCTTGATAAATTTTCCTCTTGAGAGTTGAAAGCCTGGAATAATTTAATTTGATATGAATCTATCTTTTTTTAGGGTCTTGTCGATAGTATGCATACGATCAATGGTAGAAAAACCCTTTCCCAAGTGCAGCTTGCTCGCCATTGTACGTTGACCGCTAGATTTCCTATTAGTTGGATCTGCGTGGTCAGAAGTTACCCAAGAAAAGCCCATTGGGCTATGAAGCTCATTTTCAAGGGCAACTCGGCCAGCAGACAAGAGGGGCGGTCAGTTTAACACATAGGCTTTTCGCGACCAATATCATCCATCGTACAGGTTTTTTTGGGTTAGATCGTGTAAATATAGCGAGTTGTAATTACTGGTGAAACGTACTCAGGTTGTAAATGTTGTGGCTTTGCTCTCGAACACACCGGTGTGCTTTACTCATAACGAATTGGCACGTTCGGTTTACGTGACAAACCTTACTAATTGCCTGTGTCGGGTGGTGGCGGGTTTAACGACACGTGTATGTATTTACGCGAACTAACCCAAAAAAAACCTGTATTATGGAAGAGGAGTGGCCTTTATGCATAAATTACATAGTGCAGCATTCTTCAATCATTTTTTAAGAGGGGGCCACTTTCGCCGATAAGACGTCATCAGCGTGAGGGCCGCCACACGTTTGAAACCATTGGGGTTTGACAGCAGCACGATGATGATGGGATGTTATTGTCACATTTGTGTATTGTCGTGGGCCGCACGAACAGAGGCCGCACTAAAGGCCACCAGGGGCCGCCAGTGGCCCGCGGGCCTTGCGATGAAGAACACTGCTATATTGCAATCGGAGGCAATCGGGGAAGCATTGACCCATTGTGGTGAGCACATTGTGCTATAAACCAGGTGGACCCGTGTTTGAGTTCTGGTCACAGCGAACAATTGTGATCTCTGAACCGGTTCTGGACCCACCCTCTTCACCAACCAATACCGATCGACGTGGTGAAGTGTAGTCAAACAGCCTTGGGGTGCTGAGGCCTTCATCAAGCAGTGGATTTACAAAGTGCTGTGAGTGAATTTACAATGAATGAATGAATGATGGTTTGGAGGCGATTGGGTCTGTAATTATTCAGCTTGGTTTTGTCTCCCGTTTTTAAACAGAAGAATGACTGCTGCTTCGTTTCCACGAACGAGGTACAGTTGATCATCGATTATCCGGCACTGCGCGATTATCCGGCTTCCAACATTATCCGGCGGTTCCGGGCCGATCCGGCAAAACCGCGGCAAAGGCAGTTCCAGTCCGGTGTGTCAAAAATTATATACAGTACTTTATACACTCTCATATAACTTGAACAATGAAAATACTGCACGTGTATACATTTTTCATGACTACTAACGACAGTAATAAAAACAAATAAATTGACACGGTGTGATCCGGCGAAAAGTTGCGTGTCATTCGGCGTTCGCGTTCGGCGATCGTCAAAACACATGGCTGTTGAAACAAGAGCGGTCGTATGTACATTGCCCGATGCAGAGTATTAAAGATTGCACTGGTAGATAGGATACAGTAAAGTAGGATATTTTTGTCTATTTGTACGCTTATTAATACCAAAGTCGTATAGTAAACACAATTTAAAGCACTGAAAAAACATACACACAGCACCTAAAAACATGTTATTCAAGAATATGCTAAATAGGCTCTTTTAAATAATTCTGAGTGGTGATTATCCGCCGTTTTTGAAAATCCGGCGCCCCCTTCTCTCCCGAAGCCGCCGGATAATCGATGATCTACTGTATTTCATTTCCGTGCAAATATCTGGTAAATTAGGTCTGCTAAGTTGTTTCAACAGCCGGTCCTGCTTCTTTCTATCGTGTCCACAGTTCTTGCGTCTGGTCTGGTGGCAGCATTGACCCATTGTGAAAAAGGCAAGCGTGGTTTTAAGACACCTCCTCCTGATATGAATACTGGAATGCATTTTCTACACTTTGTACTACTTTGGCTGCTATCAATTTTCACGTGATAAGCCACTTTTGTTGGGCTATCATTTGCGGCCAGGTCGTTTATGAAAAGGAGCTATATAGCTCAGTGGGCTTTACCCGGTAAAATAAAAATAGTTCAGAGTTCGTTTTATCTACGGGACCCTTTATTTGCCTTGTGTAATAGGCGTCTATTTGGTGGTTGAACATGTTAATACCTGTATTGATGCCAGATAGGGCAAAGCCTTTTTGTTATATATATAACTAGCTTTACTATCCGGCTTCGCCCGAGACTTCGATTCTTGTCTTGGATTAATACACGGCCTACGCGGAAGGTGGGGGGGGGGATGCGTGACGTCAGCAGGCACACTGCGTAACGCTGCCGCGTGCGGGTGACATCACAGATGTGAGCAGTGACATCACAGATGTGATGTCACTGCTCACTTGTCATTTTGTACAGTCTGGAAACTACCCACATGCCGAATTTCAAGTTTGTTGCATGTCGGGAAGTATGCTAAACATTTTGAACAGACACACATTCCCAAATTTCCCTTTTTTATATATATAGATTCAATACAAGTTTGCTTATATAAATAAAATACATGTTGTTTGGAGATAACTCTAAAACACAGAAGTATGTGTATCCACACATACACATCTAGGGTAAATGTTGACAGCAGATAAGGTTCTAATTTACGGGGCGAATGGAATCAGCGTGGAGCTCTTTCGGGAAAACTGAATTGGATCGTGAACGGTAAGCGTGCCGGCGTGCCCAAAGAAGACAGTTCCAGTCTGTGTGTCGGTGCGCGCGCCCAGCTGTGACTTACGGACCCGAGACGCGTAAACGCTGACAAATTAAATGGATCAAGAGTTGAGAAGCACGCAAAAAAGAGCAAGGAGAATTGCACGCTTCGAATTACACCGAGAGACTTGGAAGGGGGGGGGGGCGTGTGGATCGTGCAATGATTGCAAATCAACGACCGTGTTTGTTGAACGTTGCGAGAAGCAAGAGTGGGCTCAAGCAGCGGACCGTTGCCTAGAAAGGGGTGATGGCCATCGGTTATGACTGGTGATGGAATAGCAGCCAAGGGACAGACGGAACGATGAAATAAGTTTGTGCGCAGTCGATGGTCTGTAGCGTCCCAATGGCGGTAGGGAAGACTTAATCCACCAATGGATAGTTCATGGCTGAAGATGGGGATGACCATTAGATCATGAGATTGGCACTCTTAACCATACCGTCAGCCAGCCGGATATTGTTATTCTACTTCCAATTTAGTCCTAAATGTGTGGCAGACCCCCGTAGCCTGTACTTACTACGCGTGCCCGGTCTGTATGCCTCCTAGGTAACTTGGGTGAATTTACCGATGCTGAGGAATCGTGGACCCCGGTAGAAGGAGCTGAGGGACGGGACAGCCAGGAGCCCGCAGGTGAGTGTGGCTGGACGCGGGCCAGTGTGGGCGATGGGCATGGGTGGGAGGAGTTGAGTGAACAAAACGATCACTTTGGCAAAAAAACATTACCAAGCTGCGGCGTGTACAAAGTCGTTTGGCACGTGTCGTGACGGGTACTGCAAGGTCATGTCCGTCCAGTGCTCGCCGAGCTGCATTGGCTTCTGGTTGCCGAGCAAATACATTATGAGGTCGCACTCATTACGCGCAAAGTGCTTGCCACAAATTAAGCACAATATTCTTGCTGATCTCACCAAGGAGCATAGACCGTCACGCAAACTCCGGTCATCCTCGCAGCAGCGGCTTTTGGCTAGCCATTGAACAAGGACGGTGGTCACCGGATCATGCGCTTTCATATGCGCTGGTTCTGCGGCCGTCTGGAATGCTCTTCCTTCCGATATTAGGAAGCGACTGGAGCTATGCAGTTTTAAATATAAATTGAAAACTAATTTCTTAAGAACTACTTTTGTGTTTAGTTTGTTGCCCTTCCCCCGCACCTCCGGTTAGCTTGGTTGACTATGTACGCTGCATACATACATACAAACAAGACAGCCTGAGTGACGTAGATTAAATTAGCAAGCCTCTCCCTGTGTTGTTCATCCCTGCCATAGACATCAGCCGCACGAGTGACTCCAGCCTCGGGGCTCGAACCTAGGTCCTCGGAAGGTGCAGGCTCGGTGCCTGACATTGACATAGCCTCCTTAAACAGGGAGAAGCAGTCGGCCACAAGGCCTACACGTTGCTGGTTGAATATTCAGCTATGGTATCGTTCCCCTTAGAGGCAACCAACCCCAGGACATAAACCCAGGGGCCTCGGCAGCCCTGGCTGTGTGTCCAGACACAGGCATCGGCAACATTGACGCGCCGACGTGCAATGTGGTGTCTGCTATGACTTACGTACGCTACCTTTAAATCTGAAGCGAGCGTCCTCTCTCGTGCAGAACCTCTGGGAGGCCACTCGGAATTCTTCATCGAAGACGGTGCCTTGCAGCCCAAAGTCGCCATTAAGATCGAAGAACTCTCCGAGGATTCCGCCGCCGCCACCATCCCCGCCGCCGCCGCGGTAATTGACGACCCGAAAGCCGCCGTTCGATGCTGCGTTGAGCCACGAGACTGGCACGAGTCGACCCTCTCGGTGAAATGCTCACCAAATCGCTCGCCGGGACGAGGGCTCCCCGCCGACAGCGGCGACAGCCCGGCGGCGGCGGCGGCGTGGCTGTCGGCGGCGTTCACCGCGGCGGCAGCAGCGGGCGTCGCGCCCTCGGCGGCGGCGGCGGCGGCGCCGATGGCGGCGCCGACGGCGGCGGCGGGGCGTGAGCGCCCCTTCCGCTGCGACGTGTGCAGCCGCGCGTTTGCGGAGTACTCCAACTACCGGCGGCACACCCGTACGCACACGGGCCAACGGCCCTACCGGTGCGAGGCGTGCGGCCGCGCCTTCTCCAAGCGCAGCAACATGAAGAGGCACCAGCGCAGCCACAAAGGCGAGAAGCCGTTCGGCTGCGACGTGTGCGCCCAAGGATTCACGCGGCTCTGCAACCTCAAGGTGCACCTGCTGAAGCACGCTGGGGAGGGGAGTGCCCAGCGCTCCGAGGAAGCGAAGGGCTCGCTCCACCGCGACGGCGGATGGGAGATTCAGAACTCCTCTTTTGCTACCGGGTAGGTTTTTGAGCGGTTGCACGGCGGGGCTGTCTTGCTGCGTTTTCGGGGGTCGTCCCTCCCACGCGTGCCGTTTGATATTTGTGAAAGAAACTCTCGGCGCGTGGAGCGAAACGGCAGACCGTCATGCCGAACGATAGTGATCCAACCTGAAAACGTATCGGAGAACTATCGGCTCTTGTAAAAATTTTTTTTTATATTTTTCTCTTGTTTCCCCAAATTTGTTCGTCGAGCGGGGGTGCCACTGTTGATGTTAGATAATGGCCCGTGGAAGCGGATATATTGTACAACTACTCCTGAGATGTCTTCAAATGACCTCTGGTTCACGCGGTGTGGGGGGCAGCACTTTCTCACCCGGTTAATAACAGTTGGCTGCCTGCATTTGAAGCTCGGATGTCAGCGATGCAAGCTCAGCAATCTCTGACTTGTGAAGCCACCCGGCCACGTCATGATGCACGGTTCCGCTTGGGTGAATCAGGGAGCTAATCGTAGGCACACAATCAGGCATCTATTTTTACACTCACCATACTTCTGTCGAACCTTGCGTGTGAGAGTCGGTTATTTACGATTCATGCGAGTGTTAGGCTATGACAGCAAGAAAAACGGCAAACGAGAGAGGAAAACATCTAGATGGTAAAAACCCAGGCAAAAAATAATCCATAATTCTGGAAATTAATTAAACCCCCGATTTGGGATAATTTATCTAATAAATTAAAAATTGCTTTTGAGAGGGTGGAATTATTACATGGCTAGATAATATTTTTTTAGCGAAACATCGAACAAAGATGGTCGCTTTCAGATGCGCTTCTGCGGCCGTCTGGAATGTTCTCCCGATATTAGGAAGCAACTGGGTGTTATGCACTTTTAAATCATCGAGATTGAAAACTAATTTCTTTTGAGCTGCCGTTTGTGTTTGGTTTGTTGTCCTTCCCCTGAACCTCCGATTACCGAAATTCTACTGGAACATAGAATTAAAAGGGTAATCATATTCAGGGCATTGCGGATGTAGAATTCAGGATTCATCGTTTTGCTTTAAATATTTAAAATTTTCACAGAATTTGCCCAAATTTTTTTTTAGGATTGCATTTTTATCCGGAACCCCTAGTTGAATGCCATTTTTACAAAACTTTCAGAATCAGAATATTTGTATACTTGGTGTGTTCGGATGTCAGAGCCTAAACAATTCAGGAGGTGGAGGTTTACGATAGACACCACGTTGTGGCCTCGTGAAGATCTGTGTTTATTATTTAATTTTGAATTTCTTTCGTTCCCTCCTGTGTGCGGGTTTTCTCCGGACACTTGATAATAAAGGATTTTTTTCCTCATTAAATACTTGTTTACGTATGCGTGATGTGTGTGTGCTTTTGTTTATGCAGTTTCATAAATGCTCAATATAGTAGAACCCCCTCCTAACGACAGTAAATGGTTCCACAAAACCGGTCGCTAAGAGATTTGGTCGTTAAGCGAGTCTAGGAAATACACGTTAAAGGCTTAATACTGGTAGGAATCTCCTGGTTACACCAGCCCACAGGGGATGATTGTGTCCGTCCGTCGTGCATCCAAAAATGGGAGGGGTGGGGCTGGGTGGAGAGGGGAGGGTGGGGAGGGTGGGGCTGGGTGGGGAGGGAGGGGCTGGGTGGGGAGGGTGGGGAGGGTGGGGAGGGGCTGGGTGGGGAGGGTGGGGGGTGGGAGGGATGGGGCTGGGTGGGGGGGGGCAGGTCACCCCGTGGTGCCCTTATAAAACTCAACGTTTAACCTACTCACGCCCGCTTGTGCCCGCCCTCACAGTCGGGCATATTTGTGGAATACACCACATCGCCGTTGACCCTGGCCATTGACCGAGCAACCCAACGTTCCTACCAGCTCCCTCCGCAGGAATGTGTTTCGTTCCGATAGCATCGAAAGTTCCCCTTTTTCATGCAAAAAAAACGTACTTTGTAATATTTAAACAATATATTAATAGATAAAGATACATTGTAAACAGATATATATAAAAAAAACATGGTTAATTGATGCATTCACATTTACTGTACCTACAACAGCCTGTCGTTAACAGGGGAATGGTCTTTTGATTTAAAGCTTTGCGTGACTGCAGGGATTCATATTCTTGGTTCTTTCGGTAAAGTCACGTAGAAGGGAAACAATCAAATTGTTTTATATTTTTATTATTTAATTGTTTCCCTTCTACGTGCCACTGCCATACATAGCAGGCGTTACCAAAAAGATTTCCAAAATTTTAAACAAACACAAGATCCAGGTTCGATTCAATACAGTACACAAAATCCGTGATCTGATCCCATCCGTAAAGGATGCCATCCCTGACTTACAGTACCCCGGTGTTTACAAATTGAGTTGTATCTGCGGTGACTGCTATATCGGGGAGACGAAACGACATATTTCTGACCGAATTCGCGAGCACAAATCAGATTTGAAACACGGCAGAACGAATTCGTCGGCCGTGGCTGATCAGTGTCTCAACACAGCGGGTTCTCATGATATTGTTTTCTCCGATACCAAAGTACTCTGCAAACCTCCCGGTTATTACCAAAGATTTGTCCATGAAGCCATCCAGATATACAAACATAGACACAACTTCAACCGAGAGGATGGTTTTAAATTAAGCAACCACTGGAAAGATGTCATAAACCAAGTCAAAACTTTAGCTACCTTATAAGCACGCAGCATACTCTTTTCGAATTTTTCCATTTTTGTTTCCATTTAATCCATTACCCCCGTGCAGTGACCCACCGCATCCCCCGCACCCTCAACATAACAAAAGATGGATTCACTTAGCCCCGCACCCCATCAAGGTCCCCTACTTGGCTCCTCCCCCCCCCCCCTTAAGGGGGTCTCAGAGCCCCCCACTTTATGCAGCGATCTTGCTGTGACTGTTCCACCTGAAGACGGAAGCTTGTGTTGCCTCCGAAACGTCGTGATTTAATTGTTTTATTTTATTTTACCTATGTGACTTTACTGAAAAAAACATAGAGTATGGGGCTAGTGATGTTAAAAAGAACTGGGCGGGGCTAGTGATGTTATAAAGGAGTGGGCGGGGCTAGTGGTGTTATAAAGGAGTGGGCGGGGCTAGTGGTGTTATAAAGAAGTTTGCGGAGCTAGTGGCGTTAAAAAGAAGTGGGCGGGGCTAGTGATGTTAAAAAGAAGTGGGCGGGGCTAGTGGTGTTATAAAGGAGTGGGCGGGGCTAGTGGTGTTATGAAGGAGTGGGCGGGGCTAGTGGTGGTATAAAGGAGTGGGCGGGGCTATATGATAAATCCACAGGTGGAATACGGTGATGCCACCACCCTCTTCAATGCAGTAATTTGCCGGCAGCATCTATATCAGTGGTTCTTAACCTGGGTTCGATCGAACCCCAGGGGTTCGGTGAGTCGATCTCAGGGGTTCGGCAGAGCCCCCGCCACGGAGGTCCGGACACACTTGAATTATTGTGTAAATTTGTGATGACACACACGGCCCGCTTGGCCATCACTGGCTGCAGATGATCATGCTACACTGCTTGGCCAATCAGCGCTGCGGGGAATTTAGTGCGTACTCAGTAGTCAACGTGTGACTGTTGTTGTCGTATGTCGTGTGATTTCTTTAATATTTTATCCATACTAACTATGTCGGGCAAAAGAAGAAAGTGGTCGGACGAATATGTACAACATGGATTCTCATGTATCACGGAACGTGATGGGAGTGAGCGTCCTATCTGCATGATTTGCAACGCCAAGTTGAGCAACTCTAGTCTTGCACCGGCAAAACTAAAGGAACACTTCTTGAAGCTGCATGGAGACGGGGAATACAAGAACACAACACTTGCTGAATTCAGGGTGAAGAGAGCCAGATTCGATGAAAGGGCCACTCTGCCTGCTCTTGGATTTGTACCTGTTAACAAACCGATCCTGACAGCATCGTACGAAGTTGCTTACCTGATCGCAAAGCAGGGCAAGCCACACACCATTGGTGAAACACTTGTGAAACCAGCTGCATTAAAGATGGCGAATCTGATACTCGGAACAGCGGCCGAAGGTAAATTATCCCAAATTCCCCTTTCAAATGACACCGTCAGTGACAGAATAGAAGACATGAGTAAAGACATCTTGGCTCAAGTAGTCGCGGATCTGATTTCAAGCCCGGCAAAATTCAGCCTTCAACTCGACGAAACCACAGACGTTTCTGATCTAAGCCAGCTTGCTGTTTTTGTACGCTATGTGAAAGACGACATGATAAAAGAAGAGTTTTTATTTTGTAAGCCTCTTACAACAACAACAACGAAGGCAGCCGATGTGAAGAAGCTTGTGGATGACTTCTTCAGAGACAACAATCTTTCATGGGATATGGTTTCTGCAGTTTGTACGGACGGAGCTCCAGTCATGCTGGGAAGAAAGTCTGGTTTTGGTGCGCTAGTAAAGGCCAATGCACCACACATCATTGTGACGCATTGTATTCTGCACAGGCATGCGTTGGCAACAAAAACCTTACCTCCAAAAATGGCAGAAGTATTAAAAACTGTGGTGGAATGTGTGAACTATGTGCGAAAAAGTGCTCTGAGGCACCGCATCTTCAGTGAGCTGTGTAAAGAAATGGGCTCTGAATTTGAGGTACTTCTGCTCCATTCTAATATTCGGTGGTTATCCCGGGGACAGGTGCTGAATCGTGTTTTTGCCATGCGTGTGGAATTAGCCATGTTTTTGCAAGAGCACCAACACTGCCATGCAGATTGCTTCAAAAATCCTGAGTTCATTCTCATTTTAGCGTACATGGCTGATATATTCGCAGCTCTCAATCATCTCAATCAGCAGATGCAGGGTGGTGGAGTCAATATCATGGAAGCGGAAGAACACCTGAAGGCTTTTCAAAAAAAGCTACCGTTATGGAAACGACGAACAGAGAACAATAACTTCGCAAACTTCCCGCTTCTGGACGACTAGATCGAAGATGTGTCTGGAATCGGAGATATTTCTGTATCCACGGAACTGAAGCAAACAATTGCCACGCACTTAGATGAGCTTGCAAAGTCTCTCGACGGATATTTCCCTACAAGAGAGTCATATCCAGCATGGGTGAGACAGCCGTTCACGTTTGCTGTTGAAACAGCAGATGTCAATGATGAATTCCTCGACGAAATCATTGAAATTCAGCAGAGCCAGGTTCAACAGCAACTCTTCAGAACAACAACGCTCTCAACGTTTTGGTGTCGACAAATGAACAAGTATCCAGTTATTGCTAAGAAAGCCCTGGATTTTTTTTATACCATTTGTTACAACATATCTTTGTGAGCAATCCTTTTCGAGGATGCTGGACATAAAAACGAAGAAAAGGAACAGACTTTGCTGTGAAAATGACATGAGAGTGGCACTTGCCAAGGTGAAGCCACGCATATCTGAACTGATCTCTCAAAGGCAACAGCAGAAGTCACATTGATTTCCAGGTATGTAATTTGTTGTGAGTTTATGCATTGTGTTGGTTTTATTCTTTGAACAAGGTAATGTTCATGCACGGCTCATTTTGTGTACCAGTAAAAAACATATCTATGTCTTGAATTTGAAAAAAATCACATTTTATTTTTCACTAAAGAGGGGTTCGGTGAATGCGCATATGAAACTGGTGGGGTTCGGTACCTCCAACAAGGTTAAGAACCACTGATCTATATCCATAATACAAGGGTTTTTTTTGGGTTAGATCGTGTTGATATTTAAATGTGTCGTTAAACCAGCCACCACCCGACAGCCAATTTAGTAAGGTTTTCCACATTCTCGGTTCTTTCGGTAAAGTCACGTAGAAGGGAAGTAATAAAATAATAAAAATAAAACAATAAAATTCTCACGACGTTTCGATTGCAAGAACATTTTCTTGCTGTGATTTTCACACCTGATGACGATTGCTTGTGTTGCAATCGAAACATTGTGAGAATTGTATTGTTTTATATTTTTATTATTTTATTGTTTCCCTTCTACGTGACTTTACCGAAAGAACCAAGAATATGAATCCCTGCAGTCACGAAAGCTTTAAATCGAAGGTTTTCCACGTAAACATCTCCATATCAATAAAAGGCTGAAGATGTCTGCCACAACTCGGCTGGGTCCCAGTTCCTGGAATGCCGCGCGATGACGTCATCCGACGCTTTCACCTTTTAGCGTGACGTCAAATTAAAATACCGGTACCCGCGGCCCTTTCAAAGAGCCGAGATGACGCCATCGTCGTGCGCGATGATGTCACGAGGCGTGGGGGGGGGACGCGCGAGTGTTCCCGTAACGTTATCACGCTGCCGCCGTGCGCGATGACGTCACTACAGGGTTGTGGGGGGAAGGCGCGCGACCGTTGTTCCCGCAACGTAATCACGCAGCCGCTGTGCGCGGTGACGTCACTACGGGGTCGTGAGGGGAAGGCGCGCCACCGTTCCCGCTAACGTAATTACGCAGCCGCCGTGCGCGATGACGTCACAAAGGGTGGGGGGGGGGTGATGCGCGCGACCGTTGTTCCCGCAACGTCATCACGCAGCCGCCGTGCGCGATGACGTCACTACGGGGTCGTGGGGGAAAAGGCGCGCGACCGTTGTTCCCGCAAACGTAATCACGCAGCCGCCGTGCGCGATGACGTCACGAAGGGGTGGGTGATGCGCGACCGTTGTTCCCGCAACGTTATCACGCAGCCGCTGTGCGCGATGACGTCACTACGAAAGCGTGGCGGGAAGGCGCGCGACCGTTGTTCCCGCAAACGTCATCACGCAGCCGCCGTGCGCGATGACGTCACTATAAGGGGTGGGGGATGCGTGCGACCGTTGTTCCTCCTACGTCATCACGCAACCGCCGTGCGCGATGACGTCAAAAAGAACATCGCGACTCATCAAGCAAAGCCGCGAGACCCCACGACAGTCCACAGATTTAGTTGCGATATTGAGCACCTTATGCTCTTTGGTTCTTTCGGTAAAGTCACGTAGTTAGAAATCAATTAAAATAAAAACAAATCACGACGTTTCGATTGCAACACAAGCAATCATCATCAGGTGGGAGAACCACAGCGAGAACATTTTTTTTGCTGAAGTTGGAGGATTTTTTTTCTCTTGCTGTGGTTTTCCCACCTGATGACGATTGCTTGTGTCGCAATCGAAACGTCGTGATTTAAGAACCAAAGTGTATGGATTCCTGCAGTAACGAAAGCTTTCAAATCAATATTGAGCACCGTTCAACATTGCACGAACGGACGAAAGGTTAATATTAAATTCCATTGAACGATACACACGATTAAAGAATGAACGAACAGACTAAAGTTGATTCCATAATAATCGTAATACTAACAACATAACAATAATAATGAAGATGTCTCGATCTATGGACGCGGTTTTGTATTTCGCGGGCAATGCGCTATCCTGGCGATTAATTGCCAATAGATTCAGGAACACTTGGATCGAGTAATGTGATTCACCAACCGCCCCCCCTCTCCCTTCATTTAATTGTCTTAAAATCGGCGAGATCGGTGATTCCGTCGCAGTCTGCTTCTATTGTTACCGGATCGGGACGGAATCACCGATCTGGAGAGGGGAGGGGGGGGCGAGTCGAATCATTACTCGATCCGCGGATCGATAGGCTCACGAATCGACGCAGCGATAAACACCCGCTATTCCATATTACGGATCGACTGAGCGTAGATCGATACGATTAATATCGATGTAACGATCCACAATGACCACCATCTTGATCGCGTGCGCGATGACGTAAAGCGCGCGCAAGGCCCGCGTGCGTGATGACGCAAAGCGCGCGCAAAGCCGCGTGCGTGATGACACGCAGGCGCGCGCAAGGCCCGCGTGCGTGATGACGCAATGCGCGCGCGTCCCGTGTGCGTGATGACGCGTGCGTGATGACGCAGGCGCGCGCAGCACGCGTGCGTGATGACGTACGAGGGGGGGAGGTTTTGTTGGGAGGTGCCAGTAGTGAACCTCCCATCAGGCCGCTAAGTTTAAAAAAGGAACCGGCAGAGGAGCGGCGGCGGCGGTGGTGGTGGTGATTGTAGTTGTGTGGCGTTGGTAAAAGTTGGACAAACTCCCCCGTCAACCAACTTAGTCGTCGTTGTGTTTTGTTTTTAGCTGTCCCCTTTTTTGTTGTTCTTGTTGTTGTTGTTTCTTTGAAGTTTCGTTCGAGAGAGATTCCGACAGTGAAGCCCAGCAATGGACATGAAAGGAGTCGAGGTCGGCATGGTGGTCATGATCAATAGGAGCGACGGTGAGAGGGGGTTGGGGGTGGATTGTTGGTGGAGATTGTTGTTTGCGAGTGGGTATTTTTTGTTGTTAAAGTGTGGTAGGCGTCGACCTTTTGTTTGGAACGCGACTCCGCCGCCTTCTCTCTCACGCACCTCCTCAAAAACCCCACAAAACAAAACCAAAAAAACCTATTGGGAGACATCCACGGTGCGTCTCTGGTCACGCCAAGACAAAGATCCGGCCTTGGTGTGTAAGCCTGTAACAGACTGGGTGGCCGGCACCAACCACGCCCGGGGCCGCCTTTGTCTCTTCCGGCAGGTGCTCATTTGAGAATTGAGTCCGATCCTATCAAGGGGTGGAGGAGGTCCCGGGGACCGGTTCTGACGGTAATCGTCGCTGGCTGCTGGCCGTGAGCTGGAGTCGAACTCTGGTCGCCGGGTTCGTAGCGTTAACGAACTTCGCTACCGCTCCCCATGTACAGACGTATCGGATTGCTGTCCCATGTCAAAGTGAACTTCTCCCTCCCGCTGTTACTCTTAATAACACTTTAACACAGTTTTTGTTACTTTGCTTCTGCCTAGAAAGGCTAGAGAAGGGCTATTTTCCACCGCAAACGTTGCTTTCGTGGCCAGTGACTTTGCGTGAACTGGAAGACACAAATTGCTCACCGTTTTCTCATGTGAAATATGCACATTGAACCTTTTTTACCCCTGGGGGTATCATTTAGTGCCCCGGCTCTCGCGTAATATCCGCGATGCCAGTCATTTTTTGCCTTATTCTTGGTTCTTTTCGGTGAAGTCACGTAGATAAAAAAAAAAATACCAAAATTTACTTGAATATAAATTGAAAATAAAAGCCAAACAAAAAACCTTGGAAGCAGCAGTTGCATGTGGAGGCTGGTTGGGGGGGCCCCCCTTCTTTTCTGTTGCGACCGATAAATGTTTTAAAACATTAATTTTCTATCTACGCGACTTTACCGAAAGAATAAAAAAAAATACTCTTTGTTTTTTTCGGTTAAGTCACGTAGAAATAATAAAAAATAAAATTATATAATAAAAAAATACATATAAATCCCTGCATTCACGAAAGTTTCAAGTCAAAATTTATTTTTTTTAGTCTGTGATTGATCGATTGGCCTGCGATGCGGCAATCGACTCACGATGCACTATATATATAGAAAAAAAGTTGAATTTTTCGAGAACGGATTTTTTGTTTTTTTTAAACTGCTAATAATGTTTGGCGTTTCGACGTCGCGGAGTGTGTCACCGATTTCGGATTGATTGGTTACCCCCAGTCACGGAGTTTTAAGTAACATCCCTGGACAACAAAAAAAAAGTGTCCCAGAAAATTTAATCTTTAATTGCCTCGGCCATTTTGTGTGATTTGGTACCCCCCCCCCCCCCAGGAAGAATTAATTTCAAAATTTCACTCTCCTCGTCACAAAAGCAAAGTTTGTTGGGAATAATAGACATTGTTCTGTACTTTTGAGACCTAAGCAAGTAAGAGATAACGCTTACTACCCAGGAACAAAAAAAGAATGTGTTTTGGGGCCGTCCATAAATGACGTCACGCACCTAGGGCGGGGGATGGGGTCAGACATTTGTGACGAGGGAGGGGGGTGTTTGAGAAATGTGACGTCACATCAAAAATCCGCAGCTTTAAATAAATACAGACAAACACCTTCTACTTAATTAAATAGACTTAAAAAAATGTTTTCTCTTACAACATCATAGTGCAGCGGCACTGACAATAGTTTAAAGCGATTTGAAGCATGTTTTATATATTTTCGGGGGGGGGGCAGATCATTGTGACGTCATATTTGAGGGGGGGGTCTGACTTTTTGTGACGCCGAGTGACGAAGGGGGTGGGGGGTGGGTCAAAAATCGGCCAAAATCGCGTGACGTCATTTATGGGCAGCCCCCAAGCGTCGTTAAGGCGTGAAGTTCGCGGGTTCCCACGATCTCAACACGGGGGCCCAACATCATCGGCCCCAATGGCCACAACACAATCCAGCACACACCGCACCTCCGATTAGCACGGTTGGCTACGTGCGATGCGAAATAAATTCTACACACACACATGAGGGTTTACGGACGTACATTTTTACCGATGCGATCTGACCCAAAAATGTATTGTGAATCGTTCAGTTTCTGTTTCAGCGTAAAAACTATTAAACATTTTATTTAGCCAGGTAAGCTTCCACTGAGCTATATTGGTTTTTTTTCAGAAGCGGCCTGGCCACAAGATAGTTCCCCGAAGTGGCTTATCATCAATACTCGTAAAAGCATTTTGATTCTAAATGTGGAGGGGAAAACCGGAGGACCCAGAGAAAAATCCACGTGACCACAGGGAGAACATGCAAACTCCAACTATACAGGAGGCATCAAGGTCGGGATCGAACCCACGACCTCCTGTATATCCGGCGATGTAGTAAACATACGGTACATACAAAATCTGCAATATTTCGGAAGCTAAGCAGGGGCCGACCCTGGACAGTGCTTAGATTATTTGCTATTCTCGCGCATGATGGGCGGCAATATGTTCAAGAGCTAAATGTCATTTGTCCGAGGTCTGCAAAGCCTTGACGAGAGATGGCTTCAGTAGAGATGCGCATCTGTGAAAAAGAGCTTCATAGCTCTTCGGATTCGTCCAATAATTGTGCATTGAATCAAGCAAACATTTTGTGTGGGACGAGGCAACAATTCCATGACCGACCCGAGGGGGTCTGAACTGGGTTGACAGGAGAGGGTCCTGTTATTGGATGGGTTTCTTAGCTGTTCACCCCACACGGTTTACCCCTGTTATTCTGTTACTGGGGAAATTGAGTTTTCAGGTCCATACGGCGTACAGCCGTTTCAATACGGGCAAAAACATTTTTGTTTCTTTGTGATTTTCTCTCTTTTGATGGGACTTTGTAGGATGAACGTTGAGATTTATAAGGGGCACGGGGTGACCAATAATGTCTGAATTGATCTGTAATAAGGTAGGCACTGATAAGGCTTTGACGGGTATGTATCAGATTGTTACGAGATGCGAGTTCATGTCTTTTTTTTTCCTTGAACCGAGGAAGCTTATATTAGCAGTAACTTGAGCGATTACCTTTCTGTGGCGTGTACCCATTTGTTATCGCTTGGTGGACAGGTGGGGTTGGTTGGAAGCGGGAGTTTAAGAAGCCTGTCCATTATGTTTTTTACTGTTGCGCTGAGAGAGCGATGGATACGCACCGTGGATCCCTCGATTGCAAGTCCGGTGTGCTAAATCATTACATAACGGCAGCATGACGGTTGAGTTTAATGCGCCACAGGAATGTGGAATTTTCACCCGTGATGAGATTGAGTCTCGTTGCCTCGTACGAAGGAAGCTACCTACTTCTCTTGTCCTGATAACATGGGGCTGCATACTCGCGCTATGAAGAAGCACCATTGCCTGAAACATCACCTACCATATAATTTATACTCTTTGGTTCTTTCGGTAAAGTCACGTAGGTTTAAAATAATATATTATATAGTTTGTCTTAAGGCACCACACTGTTTTTGACGAATGAGTTTTGTTGTTTTAATCGTGACACGATATTGATGGCAACACAATTGGAAATTACTTTAGGAGATAACGGGGAAATATATGTTTCCTGGAGTTATGCGGAAGGCCAGCCTTTGTGTACAGAATTGTCCATGGACGTCATTAAAATGAATAAAGCAATACTAACTTACTGCCCTTAGTCAATTCACTTCTGGATGAAGACCTTCCCATCCAGTGTCGGTTGTAGGTGTTGTTTGACCATATCTCATTTTTTTTACCAGGTAAGCCCACTGAGCCATAGAGCTATTTTTCAGACACGAACTGTCCACAAATGATAAATCAACGAAGTGACTTACCATTGTGGAAATGTATAGCAGCCGAATACTCCTTGCAGGTTGTCGCCTTGCTAGTCAAGGCATGTTGGTGAGGTCGGGTGAGTAGTAGGCAAGCGTGTCGTACTACTGGTTTAGACATCACTGTTCACCAATGTTAGCCATTCCCTGGGATCGAATTCATCCGGGTCTGGTGGGTTCACGGCGCACGTGTGCTCCTAACCACTGCACCCACCGGTGTTCACAAAGCACTGCGTGACTTCTGGCGTGCGAGCCCCTCTGAGTCGACGCCTCCGTCGGGAGCAGAATTACATAACTGGGTTGCCCATGGAAACTTGAGACAGTCTGCCGTTATTGACCACAGAACAGACGCACCAAGCCAAGGCCGTCTTCACCAACGCTCTTGCACACAGTGGTGAAGTTTCCGTTAAGGAAGAGCGCGAACTTGGCTACGTACGGTGCAAAATAAGTTAATAAGTACATTGTCCTCCTCATTGTTGCTTTCGATGGACAAACGGAGCCACGATCGGGACCGGAGGGGTAAGTTGTTTTTTAACGGCCATTGTTGTTGCCTATTTAATGATTAAATGTGGCCGTAACAGCATTTGGCGGGCAAATCTGTGGGCTAATTGCCGGTTTAAAGTGAGATTACAGGAAAAAAAAACTATCACCGTGCTCATTCGAGGGCAGTGCTGTTCTCTTGCTCCGTGTTAGGAATCCCACACTTATGGCATGGACTGCTTTCTCTCCTTTTACATGGGCACAGCAGCCGATGTTCACTTTCCTGCATAGGTGTGGAGGAAACGCCACATGACCTTGATGGGGGCATTGTCACTTGATAATTCAACAGAGCAACCCTGTAAAGTGGTGACTTTAACGCTACCAGGTGGGGCTCCGAACATTGTTGATGATGATGATCGGAGTTAACCCTGGCTGGGATTTGACCGCCGAAAACCCCTGGTCTCGTCTGAAATTACAACCTTGTGTTAATACCATTTAAAATACTTGCTTCATCCAACGCAAAACGCTCGCCTAAAGGTGTAAAATGTACCATAATAATTTACAGTGGTAACCAAGATTGCCCAGAATGTGGTGAAACTACGACATCACACTGTGTAAGAGTCGCAAGAATCATATCGTTTATTTTGCAAAAAATAGATGCCATTAATATTTGTTGCTCGTTAATTTTTTTCTGAAATATTTAATTTACCGACAATAAATAATTCTCATATATCAATTATTGCTTATTAAAGTTATCAATAATAATGAAGGTACAACTATATATTACCCATTCAATCCACACTTTGTAAAATGTGTTCTGGAGTAATTGACTGCATGATGGTTGTACGCGATGTTAACTACCTCGCCTGGTATACTGGAGGTCCTGGCTTCGATCCTGACCCTGACTCCTATGTATTTAGACTTTGCATGTTCTCCCCGTGGTCGTGTGGATTTTTCTTCGGGCCCTCTCATTTTTAACTGCCAGCTTTAGAATCAACATGCGTTCTAGGGTATTTGGCCACTGTACATTTCAACATCAGCCACTCTTTTTAACTAACATATGTGGCCAGGTCGCTTCTGAAAAGAAGCTCGGTGGTGCCTTACCTGGTAAAATAAAACCTAGTTTAGTTTTTAGTTTAGACCACAACAACTCGCTCTGCGGACGTGGTCAGCGACAGACCGCAATGCATTTTGTCGACGAGTGCTCCCTGACCTACGACTCCGACGGTGGACTTTGGCCTGTCCCTCCGCGCTGCTGAAGAAGCAGCAGCGGCCCTTGCTCGGCGAGACGAATGTACAATAATGATTATTTTTTTTTTTATATATATGAATCGTCCTGGTTGTTTTCGCCCAATTAAAAAAAAACCTTCGCATTAAGGGACCCGAGGCGGGCAGAGCCACGGTCGCGGTGACACGTAGCGGGCATCGCTCGTGCCGTCTCCATGGCTGCGTTCGTTTCGGGGCTCCTTAGAGTGGCTGCTCATGCGACGTCATCTTTGAAGGCCTCCCTTTTAATGTGATCTCTCTACTGTTCGATGAGTGGCGTTGTTGCTGCCACAGCAGGTGTAAACCTGCTGTGAAATCTATTGACGGTTTTTTTTTTCCCACCAAATTTTGTCCTGCTTTTGGTATCGTAAGATGAAGAATCCTTTGGGAACTCTTGCCGCTTAGCCAGTTTCACAATGTGGTAGTTTAATTCTCACCATGGACCCGTCTGTCTGTCTATGTATGTACGTATGTTGAACTTCTTTAGCACCTTATATTAGCCAATCGTGCTAATTGGAGGTGCGGGACAATCGGCGGAATCTAATGTCTAGTGCTGTGGTTTTTAAACCTGGGGGTCCACACACCCCTGGGGGGGTGTGAGATGCCCTTTTTGGGGGTGTGAGACATGGCCAGATTTTTGTTAAAGGTAAATAAATTTCGATTTAAAGCTTTTGTGACTGCAAGGATTAATCTTCTTTGGTTCTTTCGGTAAAGTCATGTAGAATGAGAATAAAATAATAAATTGATCAAATAAAATAACACAGCGCTGTCCTCCAGACAGTCTCATCCCTTCACCTGATGAAGGCCGCTTGTGTTGTGGCCGAAACGTCGTGAGAATTTTATTGTGTTATTTTACTTTATCAATTTATTATTTTATTCTCATTCTACGTGACTTTACCGAAAGAACCAAAGAAGATAAAGGTAAATAATCGGAACACAAATTAAGCACAGGCACGTCAGTACAACTTTGTTTCATAAAACTTATGTCTTTATTAACGTACATTATTTTACAATTGAGAACCAAATGGGGTATAAGGCTGCGGTCAAGGTTAAGAGCCCCTAGTCTATAGACTCCATCGGAGACAGATTTGTGAATTTCGATTTAAAGCTTTCGTGACTGCAAGGATTCATCTTCTTTGGTTCTTTCGGTAAAGTCACGTAGAATGAGAATAAAATAATAAACTGATAAAATAACACAATAAAAATTCTCACGACGTTTCGGCCACTTGTGCTGTGGCCGAAACGTGAGAATTTTTATTGTGTTATTTTATCAATTTATTATTTTATTCTCATTCTATGTGACTTTACCGAAAGAACCAAAGAAGATTTGTGAATGTTATAAACTAGAAACTCGGCACATTCGTCAATAGCGCCATATCAAAGAAGGAAAAAGTTGACGTTTTGGGCAACGGACCATCTTCGTAGCACGCTAACATATTGAGTTTGTGTTCTATGAAGAAGGCTCGTTGCCTGAAATATCACCTGTTGTGTTTTTTTTACTTTTAAGACTGTTGTTGATGAATGTGAATTTTGTTGTGTTGTTTGTGTGCACCACTGCCAACACAGCATCAGCAAATAATTTGCTTTAAACTTTATCAGAGACTGGTTTGTTCGCCAACTGTAATGGTTTCGAGACCCTATCGGAGACTGATCTGCCAGCCTGCTACCTAAATACCACACCACAGACCAGTTTTGCGGAATCTATTGGATACTTTTCTTTGAGTGTACCGTGGTCTCATTGTCTTAAGGACCCAATCAATATTTTTTGTAGTGCATATTTCTGTAGCTGGCATTGATATCACATTTATCCCTCCTTTAAGAACGAAACAGGAGGATTTCACCACGTATCTGGCTATCGCCTGATGGAATTTATTGTAATTACTGGCGAAACGTCATACTCGAATTAAATATTGTGGATTTACTCCAACGCACTGGTATGCTGCACTTGTTACGGATAGGCATGTTTTGTTTACGTGGAAAACCTTACTAATTTGCTGTGTTGGGTGGTGGCAGGTTTAACGACACACATTTACACCGTCTCACCCCCAAAAAAACCCTCTGGATAATTTTGGTTGCGAACGCCTACGTGTCAAACTGCTTTGCTTTGATTGAATGGGACCGCGTATTTGGAACGCAACGGCGTTGCCGTGTCCCGTCTGCTGTTGCAGGCCGTGTGCACGAGGCCACCGTCATGGGGCTAGATGCAATCCACAAAATCGTGAAGGTGGAGTGGATCGATTTGGATAATCAAGGCCGCTGCAAGGAGGTGAGCAACGGCATGGCCTTGTCTTCCAACATTCTACTGCTCTCGCGTCCTGCTGTTGATGCTCTTCTACCCGGATCTCCTTCTGTCCCCGTCTCCTATCTGTCTCGGACTTAATTTTGAATCCTTATGTTTTATTTTCTCGGTTTGGTTGCTGTCTGTTTCTCTCCTCTAGCTCCCAGCCTCCTGTGCGCTCCTGCGTCTCGTTCATGTCCTTTTCTAATTTTGTCGTTCCTATTTCCACCGTGTCAAGTTCCTCTCCATGTCTCGTCCTCTCCATGTCTCCCGTTGTCTAATCTCTGGATTTTCAGCATCTCCTTGTCTTCTGTGTCCGACCCTTTCATTGTTTCTTGGTTCCCGTCTTCCCACAATCTTCCTGACTCCCATTGTCTTCCTCCTGCATTGGGATCCCCCCCCCCCCCTTGTCTCCCAATCGCTCCATATTTGTACACTTCTTCCTTGGCTTCCCCCTTGTGTGCTTTTTGGTGTTTAGTTTATTTTCCTTCCCCTGCACCTCCGATTAGAACAGTTCACTATGTACGGTGCGAAAAAAGTTCTAGATGCAGTAAAACCTTGAATTGCGAGCATAATTCGTTCCGGAAATGTGTTTTGTAATCCAAAGCACTCGTATATCAGTTGTGATCACGTGACGCTCGGCAGACAAAGCGTGTACGTACTGCTCGTATTGCAAGACCTCGCTCGTTTATCAAATTAATATTTATTTAAACATTTTGCTCGTCTTGAAAAAAACACTCGCAGACCAAGTTACTCGCATTCCAAGGTTTTACTGTACATACATTTTGGATGATTGTGCTGAAATGTGCCCATGCGTGTGCGTAATGGTGGGCGTGTATCCGTCCGTTTCCATATGCGTGCAGTTCTCTCTCCAAGACATATACCGGCTGAACCCCAAGCTGGCGCTGGTGAAGGACTCTGATCTGATGCCTCCCCCTGCGCGACCCGCAGTTCCCGTGAAGTCACGACCGGTGCCCTCGGTTGCATACGCACGTGTCATGCGTGGGTCCGAGTCCTCGGTAAGGAATTTCAGTAATTCTCAATTCAGATCACGAATGACAAATTGAAATTGTCCGGTGCAGCATAATCGATTTTCGTGGAATAATACGTAGCTGAAAGTCTCCTCTAAAATGAACGGTGAATGGTGACATCTTTCTGTTGGTGGTCCTGAACTGTTGGGTCCGGTTTCTCCGTAGGGCAATCATTCCTGGTAGGTCTTTGCATCTGTGCTGTATTGCAACTCGCCGAAGTGTTTTCGGGTTGCAGCGTGGTGTTCTACATTTGTCTGACGTTTTGCTCCACGGGCGGGGGGTGTATCTTTAGCAATTTGATTCTGTTCAATCCCCGAATATACCGTAGAACTCCTCTTAATGACTAATCGCGTAACGACGGGCCTCTATAAGAGCCCAATGTGTTCGCTGACCGACCATTCCTCTGTCAATGACGGGCTGTTGTAGGTACAGTAAATATGAATTAATGGATTGCTTAACCACGTGTCTTTTGATATTATGTGTTGTTAGTATATCTATGTATTAATTAGTATCTATGTATTAATTAATATCCATTGTTTAAATATTTAAAAGTAAGTTCTTTGGGTGAAAAAGGGTAATTTTCGATGCTATCAGAACGAATTAAGCCTTTAATGTGTATTTATTTTACTCCCCTAATGACCAAATCACTTAATGATCGGTTTTGTTGCGCCAATTACCATCGTTAAGAGGGACATCTACTGTAGTGTATGTATGTTTAACTTCTTTCGCACCGTACGTAGCCAACCGTGCTAATCGGAGGTGCAAATAATTATCAGGCGTCCTGCCGAACAAGACGGTGTTCAACTTCAAAACATATCCGAGAGCTGTAGGCCAATCGTTGGTCGTATATTCGAATTAATAGGGTCTTTAAAAAACCTGTATTCCGTTTTGACCGAAATTACAAGATACTTTTGACTAATTCCAAGCGGTACTTTTTTTCATGGCCATAAAGGTATCATTCAATTGAGGATACACTCTTAATTAGTTCATTTAATCACATTTTAAAGTACAGTTGGTCATCTTTCAATGTTTATTAAAGGTTTAATATCGTCATCATAAAAGGTCCCTCCCATGCCATCGACCATGCCACACAGTCCTGCAGCATCGCATCAGCACGCAACTGTTCTCTCACGAATACATGCAGCCCATTTGTCTGTCCACTGCTGGATGACTACCTCTCCCCACCCAATGCCTTTTGGGTCAAGGTGGCGGTCTTTGACGTGAATTCACCACGCTCGCCCGTCTGGGTTGGTGAAGGTGGGGGGGGGGGTGCATTGACGGTGGGGAGCATGGACGCCACAGTACAGCAATAGATGTTGCCACACTGCTGCCCACTGCACATTGTACGAACATTTTTTTTTGCCTGTCTTCCACTCCAGGTCGGGAATAGCGTCGTCGTGCTGAAGCAGGACCCTCTGCCTCAAAGGAGTGACCGTAAGGCATTGCGCCGGAGAACGACATGGCAAGCAGGGACAGCATACTAGATGCAACCAGGAAGAATCACAATACCTTGCTGATCTCGTGACAGAGCGTAAACCATGACACGAACTCCGGCCATCCTCGCAACGGCTTTTGGCTAGACATAGAGAAAAGACGGTCACCACATCGCGCGCTTACAAATGTGCTTCTGTGGCCATCCGGAACGCTCTTCGTTCTGACATTACGAAGCCACCGGACCTATGCACTTTTAAATGCTGGATTTAAAACTAATTTCTTTAGAACTGCTCTTTGTGTTTAGTTCCCCTTCCCCGTACCTCCGATTAGCACGGTTAGCTACATACGGTGCGAAAGAAGTTCAACATTTGTCCATGCATGCGTTACGAAAGAAGTTCATACGGGAGAGCAGGTTTACCGAGACAAGTAGTGGAGACTTTGTGGGTCTGGGTAGCAGTGTGCATAAAATACCGGGGGCCTGTTCGATGGAAGTTGAGATCTTATTTTGTTAGCAAGGTGTGGTTTTTTTTTCATAAACTACACATCCCGTTTTTGAAGGACAAATCGGTGAACTTTAATGTTGAGAGGTGGGTGTTTGGGGCAGGGGTAATGTCTGTTACTGCACATGCCAAGAGAACTTGAAGAGACCAACTGGAAGAGAAGCATTTGCCACGTTAATGTTGATGCCATAGCCCATGTTGTCATGGTAAAGGCAACTTTTGGGAGGTTCGGTGTGAAACGTGATAAGAAAGTCTTGTAGTTGTGATTGGGGATAGGAGGTTACGATGGGTGGAACATGCGTACAGGATGGAGGGGGAGGGTAGGCTACTGAGAGGTATTAGAGTGGTATTCAGTTGCACGAGGAAGACATCAATCCAGATGTTGATGATTAGACTTGGAGTACATAGAAGTAAAAAAATGGGAATAGGTTGTTTTCATTGGTGATTCTACTGATTAATTCATGTTCAAAAGTGGTATTGGAAAACATGTAATCTAAATGTGGATATAATTGAGTTTGTGCATTTCAAGCTTAATTTAACACGTTTTAGACACCAGACACAAACACATTAAAATTATAATGTTACATACACATTTAGCTGGAGTAGGAGTGAATGGTTATCAAAACCACTAGGAAAAGACGAGTCAGAAAACTGAAAATCCAAATTGCAGGAATGTTGATTGAGTTGCGGATAAGCTAAGAGACATAGCGCTACGGCTTGGCAGAAGTACAGATGTAAAAATTTAAACTTTAAATGTGAAGGTGACCCATAATCCCCACCCACCCCTTCCTGAAATTAAATCGCTCCTAGTGGCTGCGCCACCGAAGTTGCGAGTGCGGACAGTGGTGTTGCAGCGTGCCTGGGCAGGCCACTAGTGGCCCCCTGAGTGTTTCGTTTCGCTTGAGTGGCCGCTCCTTCTGTAGGGCTAACTGTGGGCCGGGGGGCGGCGGTAGGTGAGGCACAGGGAGAACAGCTCAGTACTCCGCCACATCCTCGCTGTGTTTCCGTCCGATACGAGGCTTTGAATTTGGAGGATGGCGGGCAGGCGGCCAGGGCTAAAGCCTCGCCCAGCTGCTTGTGTTTTTGAGGGACGCTTGGTTTTGGAGCTGCTCTCAAGCTGCTTACATTGGCCCCGTCAAGTGCCCTGAGCTCCTTTGTTCAGCTCGGACAAGAGGGAAAATTCTTTAAGAAAATAAATGATTGGTGTTGCTTGGGTGGCTCTCGCGGGATGCTGTGTGCCCGTGGCGGAGCGCTGCACCAGCAACATGGACGTCAGTGGCGGTAGCAGTGGAGTGAGTGAACAGGCCGGTGCATCTGTCTGGGGAGCCCAATGCTGGAGGAAAAATAGGTGGGGGGGGGGAGCGGGGAATGGAAAACAGGAGACCCCGTTTCATTCCTTGTATCAGGACCCATGTCAATCGTGCTGCGCCACTGACATTGTAGATTATTGAAGAGCTGCTGTGGTGGTGGATGGACTGCCACTTGTAGTGGGGGGTGGGAGGGGGAGTGCTTGATGCCAGTATCAGGACATTGAGTCCAAGCCCAGGTGCTGTTTCTGTAAAGGTAGTCTGTGCGTACAGGGACTCCTCTACTTGTGAACATTCGACTTACCAACTTTCAGAGATACGAACAACCCTGGTCCGTATGTCCCAGTTACCTGTTCGGACCGAGAGGCGTAAGTTCAACTGCCGCGCAATAGGTGGCGGCGGTGGCATCTACATCTGCAGAACATGAATAACCAGTGGCATCTGCATCTACAGGAGATTATGCAACCTTTAAATCCATTCCCCGTTTTTAGCGTACAGGCCGTACAACAAGTTTGGAATCGACAGGAGTAAATTTGGACTTGCGAACAAATCGACTTATGAACAGACCTCTGCAACGTAACTCGTTTGTTAAGTCGAGGAGTTCCTGTATTGAAAGACACGGCGGCGCCAGCACCTTTTTGGAGAGGAGTTTTCAGCCTGGAGTCCGAGTGTCTTAAGATGGCCATGTCAGTCTAAAAGGTAAA